TAAATAAAGGAAACAGTAGTATACCGCTGTGAGATGTTAAACAATTTAAAACAAAAACAACAACAGCCTTGAACAAAATGCCGCTAAATACAATAATATACACAGGTAAATGAAAATAATTTTGTTGTAAGGAATGGTTATTTTTCCTTTGTTCTTCGAGTGCGTTAGCGTCTGATATTTTTAGAGGACTGATATTTTTAGAGGAGCGCACTAATTGAATAGATTTTTTAGGCACTATCGAATCCCGCCGTTGACCGCTTCTCATAAGAATGGCAAAAAATGAGAGCAGCCTAATCGAATGCTCTAACTCCCATCTCAGAAGTTGTTGATGCACTGCCGGGCTCCGCCTCCTTGGACTAGTAAATAATGAAAGAACAAAACAAAATGCAATAAAAAAGACAATAAATTTTCCTACTGTCATTTCGGTTGGATACCTGTGTATTTATCGTGTCGGAATTGATATCCCAAAATATATGTCACTGGATGTTTAGTCATTTTCTCCATTTTACAAAGGTCTATCTTATGCTATATATGACATTATAAGATATTTTTGGGGCTTAGAACCTCTTATAAGCGAAAGATATAAATAGAATCAAACCAAAACTGGTGCCCTCTAGAGTCGGTGTATGTGTTTAAAAAATACCTCACATCTCCCTTTATTCATATCAACAGAAAATTATGAAATTATTTCCAAAGCAAGGTTTCTTGTATAACTTGTAAATCGAAAAATTATCATCCAGGAATAGCATAAGTAAACGATGGCTAAATGCCAGCCCTAAAATTATCAACAACTCTTTGTTGGCTCGTGTTAAGAAATGGACAATTGAAAGCGTTTGGTGAATTCTGACTTAGATATTGAGATATATGCGTAAAAAGAAAACTTATATTTTAACATAAAACTTTAAAAAAATATCTCAGATAATGCTAATGCATTTGATATTTTCATATGGCTTTTTCATAGCAGCTGCTCGACACAACAAAATAGTATAACTTACCTTTTAAAACAAATATCAAACTCGACAAGTCTGTCGTCCTTGTCGTAGCAGAAGCGTGGAGTGTTGTCGGTGAAGTCTAACAAACCCTGGAAAGCAGTGTACATTGAAGTGTTTCCAACGGTCATGCGCACATTATCAAAGTATGTATAATCTGACACTTTTTCATCACTTGCAGTTACGCATCTTAATCCTCTCGTATTTGATGGGGACAGAACGGCATCTGGTCGTCTGTAAATAAAACAAACCATATATTTGTCTCTGGTGGAGAGTTGTCTCATTGGCAGTCTTATACGGGGCGCCGAATGGGACTTGAACTTTTTGTAATCAAAATCAATTTTGTGTACACAAAATTCAATTCTGTCATAACAAAATCATTTTTGTCTTACAAAACTATGTGATACAGACTTGTTTTATGAGAGCTTCAATTTTGTAATGACAAAATTCATTTTTGTAGACAAAATATAAACTTATTTGCATACAAAATTGACTTTTGTTACCTGATATGGAAATTAAAACACAAAAGTCAATTTTGTGAGACAAAATTTAATTTGTACGCAATTAACATGTTGATTGAATTAGCATCCTGTGATTTTGTAATTAAAATTATTTTAAAATTATTTTTTTGTGACTTTTGTGACACAAAGTTGACTTTTGTGTAGACAAAATTGACTTTTGTGACACAAAATTGACTTTTGTGTAGACAAAATTGACTTTTGTGGCACAAAATTGACTTTTGTGTTAAATTTTCACTTCTGTTTAACAAAACTCAATTTTGTCTACACAAAAATAAACACAAAATTGAATTTTTTGTGACACAAAATTGACTTTTGTGTAGACAAAATTGACTTTTGTGACACAAAATTGACTTTTGCGTAGACAAAATTGACTTTTGTGTTAAATTTTCACTTCTGTTTAACAAAACTTTACACAAAAATAAACACAAAATTGAATTTTGTGACAAAAATCTCAGTTTTGTATGCAAATTAGTTCACAAAATCCAAACTAAACTAATTTGCATACAAAATTGACTTTTGTCGCCCAATTTTCAAATTAGGTAACAAAAGTAAAGTCTGTGATACAAAAATGAATTTTGTCATGACAAAAGTAACTTTTGTCCACTAAAAGAAAATTTTGTATGACAAAATTTAAATTTGTAGTATGCTACAAATTTTGTTAAACTGAACTCATTTTTGTTGAACAAAACTCACTTTTGTCCGTACAAAATAAATTGAACTTCGAGTACAAAACTACAAGAGTCCCGTTCGGCGCCCCGTAGTCTTACCACATCTTCTTATTTTTATATTTAAAACTTTTAATCTATAATACAGGTACAAAACGCAACAGAACAGTAACATCCACCTTTACAAACAAACTAGATCCTGTTTTTTTCAGCATTTTTGCCTCCACCGAGCTTTCTAATTTAACTATATATAATATATTACCCACTAGAACAGCGTGCTTTGGTACTGACATGTATAACCCAATTTTCTAAATTTCCCTGTTGATATTATTGAAGTTATAAAGGAACTAAGATTACAATGCCATTAGGTATAGTTGACCTTAGATGAATTTTTACATTCTGTTTATGTCACTTTTGGTCATACAGCTCCTAAGGTTTATACGTATTTATACGACACTGGCGTTCACGTGTTATGGTTCGAGCGTTCCTGGTGTATATATAGGTATTTCCCGAAAAGCGCTTCGGACGTATGAAACTTATTAAGTGTTATATTCATTTATTACAGTTTTCAAGATGTAAGACTTTTTTTTTTATTAAACCCTAACAATGATTTAGTCATAGCAGTCATTGTGGTTGATAGATGAGGTGTATATCTTTGAAATAAAACTTATATATGGGCAATTATCCAATACCAGTTTAACAATCCCCTCAAAGGGTTGTTGAAAGGTATCATCAACAGGCAGAGAGAGTACCACTTTTTTATACGATAATTCAAATTTGACGTCCACATTCCGTATACATACTTGATGCACAGTCATGCCCTCTTTATCGTGGGTTTTACTGTCGTAGGGGAGAAGTGTGATGCCCTCTTTATCGTGGGTTTTACTGTCGTAGGGGAGAAGTCCCGATGACAATATGCATAAATCCTAATCAATCTCCGGTGTTGTGTGATAACAGAGACTTAAAAAAACATATATATTCATATATTATCTCTGATGATCGAAGGTGAAACCGGTAGGATAATGGATACCGTTACCGTAAAAAAATTTCGTGCATTTTGTGAAATATTTAAATCATATAGCTAAGAATATTTATTATCGGCATTTTTACAAATTTTATTTTTAATCATGTTTACCTTTTGCGTAAGTTTGTAAACATTCAACATCAAAACGTCTTAAAAAGTCCCGTGAAGTATGTATACAAGCAAAGCAATTATAAACAATATCGTATCAAACAATTACAAGCAGTAACTGAGAGCAAAATAAAAGTAACTTAAGTAGTTAACCTGCAGACATGAAATCTATACAAGAACAGTTTTAAGTATCAATATTCTGCTTGTAATCTATAAATAAATATATACAAAGAGAGATGCGAAAATAAAAAGCGAATTGTTACTTACTCGGCATTATTGTCGCAGCTTTCGATAGCCAGATGGTCAAGCAGCGATTCTTGCGTGTGTCTTAAACTAGACACAAATGTAACTGCAACCAAATACACACAACTAATCGCAAGGAACCAAGTCATTGTTGTCAAGCTAGTGTGGAGTGGTCATGTTTTTATAGTGAGCACATGCTAAATTATAGTTAATAGCCATTGTCACGAAAAGTTCTTTTAATTAAAACTTACTTAAACTATTATTATACTATCATTTTTAATTTTTCAATAATTTAAAAATTTTAATAACAGAAAAATAACCTTGATACAGTATTTGATCCAAGGTTAAATATACCAAGATAACAAAATGTAATTACATGATAACTAATATTAATTTAACTATAAGCAACAAATTCAGCTAATGCAACTTAACTACGAGATAAATAGAATTTTATAAATGTGAAATGTAAGAGTTCAAGGGGCCAACATTTTCACTTTTTCTTCCGTGAATGTCAGAGATAAGAGTTGAACACATAATTCAAAATTATTTTGGAAATATGCAATAATTTTAATAACATAAAAGCAGGGAAGATGCATTTTTAAAATGTATACAAGTCCATTGAATCACCATATATACTGAAACCTTGTTGATTCAGCACTTTATATCTTATAAGAACGTGGTACACATTGTTTAAATCTAGAGATAACAAAACCAAACCAAATTCCAACAGTAAAATAAAGAAAACCGTATAAATACAATGAAAACATCTGGAGTGGCAAGAAGGAAGAACTGCAATGTAGAAATAAAGAATAGAGGAACATAGGTCTAAAGAAAATAGAATAGGGAACAATAGAGTGCTTAGATGCAAAGAACATTGCGAGAGAATATAAAATGTATTCTTACTCTCTACGAAACAGTGGTTTAATTTATCTGTTGAAATGACTGTCAACAACAATTTACATGTCTTTTATAAACACGTAATAAAATAAGCGCCCCGAATGATATTTACATTATCACTCGAAAGAATAAATATGATACTGTTCAGACAATACTTAGCTAGTTACACAGAACATGGCCATGTATTATGTATGCTATATAGAATCTATATACAGTTGAAGTTTATACAGTTATTCTATGTTTGGTCGTACAACGTTGCTGGTTCGTTAGACTTAGTCTTTGAACTATGATTACATATGTGTATATAGCACACTGGATTATATTTGAATGTGCTATTGTTATGTCGAGTCCTAGCAAGTTTCTAACACTATATTAGTGTAAAAAAATCCCCACATCAACGATGGAAGAAAGTATTATAAAACAAGGAAAAACATAATTTGTATCCAAATGCACACGAAAGGACCAATGTAAAGCATGATATCGGAATGAAAACCTATCGAGTCATTTGCAGTTATCTTTCAATAAAAACTACCGTCGTCAGCTGTTAAATATTTTAATTTTTCTGATGATTAATACCATATCTTTGTTTGGCTTTATTCATTAGTTCCAAAAGTAAAGATTCCTCTTGTGACATCATGAAACGACAGTCCTTTCCAGTTATAGTAAACTGTTCACTCCATTCTGATGGCAATATTGTTAACTCGGTACAACTAGAGAAATTTGCTGATAAACATATTTTGCAGTATTCTGTGACAGATTTTCTTGCGTTTTTAAATTTTTTTACTTCTGAAAAAAAATTGTTTCCAGATTGTTTTATCCTGTTGTAAAATTTCTCTTTAAAATGCACGTAAAGTCTAAAATCTGCGTAATTATATTTGAATAAATTATGCTGATCTTTATCTGTCAAATGTATTTTCCTTTTCCTTTTTTCACTGTTAATATTTAACGGAACGTACATGATGTCTTTGATATCCCAACATAGAAGTCTTTTCAAAAGAATCAAAGATTCATCAAAATGTTCCATAAACATAACAAACGCAATGTCGTTGTCAAGAAGTCTTAGGTATTTTTCGGCTGCTGATTGGTTGTTGGAATCCTTAAGTGAAAGTCCTAAATCTTCAAACATTGAATTGTGAGTATGTGGACAGTTATGGAAAATATTAGGGTATTCCAAAAAGGCAGATAGAAGTTGTCTGTCTTCAAGGTGTTCTCCAAGAAGATCACGTAGGTATTCAATAAAACCATAGAAGAATGTTGCAGACGTCCACTGAGTGACTGGATCTCGAAGTATTCCTATGTAAAGAGTATCCAGTCCCATGAATTCTGTATATACTTCTTTGTTGTAAATAGCGTGATTACAAAAAATATGCATAGTTTCATTTCTTGGAAGTGTCATTATTCTTGATTTGTTTAATATACTTTCAAAACCCAAATAATTAAAACACTCCATATCATATGTTTTTGGTAAGGCAATATTCAGTCCATTCGTGTCTCCATAACGCAGAAATATATTTTGGACTGTTGTACTACCAGCTTTGTGAACTTTCAGAAATACTACTTTCTGTTGTGGCTGAGTGCAAGCATTAACTTCCTTTCTATTAATTTGAATCGTTGCCACTATTTTTTCAAGTGACAAAGTGTTATATTTGTTATAAGCAAGGTATCTAAGGTAAGTGTCTTTCTCTAATTTTGAGGAGGAAAGTTTTGTAATATGTTCTCTATCAAAAGAGGAGATCACACGATTTTGAACATTAAAACTTTCCATGTTGATTCCATGATAATACTTTTCGACGCCAATCACTTTAATTAGTAGTAGGTTCAACAGAATAATACAATATCGAGGTTTATTTCTGTTGCATAACATCTTCTACTGCACTCTGAAAAGATATATGTTCCTTATGTAAATATATTATGAAATTTGTTATCTTGTAGTTTGCCTTTCCTCTTAGATGTCAGACATGAACTTTGCTATCAGACAAGTCTTTTATAGAGAAGTACAAAACAATTGATTTGTTATTTTGAGCACTGTATTTCCCTAAAATGCCTGTTTAGCAGCACTGAAGAGACATAAATGGACAAATTGCACATCTGGTGCAGTAAATTTGGTACCGTTTATGTTATGAGTTTGACCTTTCCTTTGCTTTTCATTAGTGCTTGAGTATTTGAGACTCGAATGTCTTGTTAACGCGAGGAAGTCTTAAGACAAGTTGGACAAATTCATCTTTACCTTATTTATTTTCAGAACCACAATTTGCGCCATTCTTATCGATGTTCACATTTTTCATTGGTTATAGAAGTCAGGCAGGCATGTGAAACCGGAACAGCTTTATCTTATCTAATTGAGAAGTGTATATAGACACATATTTCCAGGGGAACTTAAAACGGTTTATGATTTACTCAAACTAAACTATGTCAAAGTGTGCAAATAGAATTATAAACATGGATACACGAATTTCTTGCTTATGGTTTAACCCTTAACAATGATAAAATATTGAAAAGCATGTATCTAATGTATAAAAAGTGACTTACTTGGATGTCTTTCAACCTGCTGTCGTGACACATCTGTTTACAATCAATTTTTATAACTGAAAAATCAGCTCATTATCGTTATTAAGTATTGATCTATGAGAATTTACAAATGTATTAATTCATTTTAGAATGCGCATCAATGACAAAAAACTAATTACTCCTGTAAATACTAGTATACTGCATATCTACTTTGTATGTGATAATAAAGTTCATCAACCCATGCATGCTTATTGGGGCGATGATATTCGTTCGTTCTTTTGTTCGTTAGTGAGAAATGTACGGTCAATCGTCGGCACTTTCTATCCGCAACTGCATCTAAATTGAGGCAACAGTAGTTTGCCGATATTCAAATCTCATAAACCGACAAAATCGGAAGGAATCGCATGACCTTCTTAAGGAGCGTAGCGGTGCGTCGACAGGGTAAGCGTTTCCTGCTGTACATGCATCACTCGCCATGCAAATTCGTACACAGTAAATATCCGTTAAATTACATATCCGACGACTATACTTAGCCCGGTCTGGTAACTAAAGAAAACATGTCGCTAGTGAGTTGAGAAACCGACACATTGTATCCGTCAACCAATTCGTGATGGTAACTGTAAAACTAATAGAATCGATTCAGTCGTTCTTTCTTATGCCTCTGTTGGAGCAGTTTTTTGTGTAAGGAGCACACCCCCTTTTAATGCAGTCACTCCGTATCAGTGTGAACATTCACGAGCGTAACTCTAAACCAGAAAATAAATTTCATTGATAATTTCTGATAATATCAACACAAATAAATTATGCTAAAAGAAAGCCGGGAGATACCAAATGGATATTCAAACTCATAGGAGCCTGTTATTCAGTGGTTGTCGTTTGTTGGTGTGGTTCATAAGTGTTTCTCTTTTCTAGTCTTTTTTTTAGATTAGATCGTTAGTTTTCCTGTTTGAATTGTTTTACACTAGTCATTTTTGTACCCTTTATAGCTTGCTGTTCGGTGTGAGCCAAGGCTCCGTGTTGAAGGTCGTACTTTGACCTATAATTGTTTATTTTTTACACACTATGACTTGGATGGATAGTTGTCTCATTGGCACTCATACCACATCTTCTTATTTATATCAGTTTTATTTATATCATAAGTCAATTGCAAACTGACAACGCCATGGCAAATAACGAAAAACGACGAACTGACAACGCCATGGCAAATAACGAAAAACGACGAACTGACAACGCCATGGCAAATAACGAAAAACGACAAACTGACAACGCCATGGCAAATAACGAAAAACGACGAAAAGATAAACAACATTCTACAAAACACAACAACCAAAAACAGTGCAACACTAACCCCACTAAAACCGGGGGGATTCTCAGGTGCTCGGGAAAATTAGCAGATCCTGCTCTATATATGGCACCTTTCGTTTTGCTCTTGTAAGTACAAATTCTGTAATTAGTCTCATTTGGTGATGTCTGACATTCGAGGAAAAGTGGACTGGATTGTGGTTATATAAGACAGTTGGAACATATCAATGTTCCAAGTTACATTTTTTTTTTGTCAGGTTTTTTGTTTGGATAGAACAAACTTTCCTTTTCCCTGTCATCTGATCTTCTTTGATACCAGTAACACAAAAGATATAATTTATAATCGTGCTTGAAAGAAAACGCATGTGCATAGAAAAACGATAAATATGAAAGATTGAACTAAGAAATTCAAGGCAATCAATGCAGGAAGCAAAATGACTATGGGTTAATTGGACTAAAATAATAGCAAGTCACAACAGCATTATGAAAGAAGATTCTGGAAAAGTGTCATTTAAATCCAGCCAAGTATTTTTGAGTTGCCGATACACGATTCTTTTCCCTTTATGAATAAGTGGCAAACGAGACAAAAACATAAATTGTTTGATGTAGGAATAAGATATTGGTCATTTCATTGGCAACCAAACCTATCACCCAATAGCATAACTAGATAAAACATTCTGTTTTATATTCCTTTAGAATTTAAACCAAAAATGATAAACTGAATCTTCGTCAACTCTACTGCATCCTCAATTATAAGTGAACTTTTTATTGCATCTGATCAGAAAACTCAACATTAAAACAATGAAAAATGCTACTCAGTGCTCCAGGCTGAGAACACAACTTTGTAAGAAATTACCTATTTTCCAAAGTGAAATTTTTCTGGAGCACATTCAATAGCATCTGTTTAAGAGGTATTTCTTTCCCAATTAATAAAATATTTCAGGGTATAGGCTTTTGTTCCAAACATGATTTTCCTTTATCGTTGTTTAATTAACATCTATTGGCAAATGTTTAAAGTTATACTTGATAGAGTGTTTCTGCTTACCAGGAGCTACTGTACCAGTTTCTTATTTTAGCTTTACAAGATTTTTAATACTTTCGGAAAATTTCTTCGGACAAGAGTTCGGTTATGTTAATCTGGGACTTCCAACACCTATACGTCAATACTAATGGAAGTAAATTATGATAGTGAACTTTGGATTTGGGAAATAAAACCATCTTTCATACTGTCCATTTAATTAACTATGCTACCAAGTTTGATTTCAATTCATAGCTGCTCGTCCCCAAAAACAAATAAAGAAATTTGATAGACAGTAAACTGAGTTAATGCCAACGAATCATGAGACAGTGTGATGAAATCCTCTTTTCAAATTGTATTCTCCAGTCTAAAAATAAATTATATAGCATTTCTGTTCATACTTTTTTTGCTCACATAAATTGTTCAAACAGAGCAGTATTTTTATTCAATAATTCAATATTTTGAGTGATACCACCAGAACATACATTTTCATAAGATGTCAGACTTATAGTTATTTTCAGCCAATAAGCTTAGATTGGCAAGTATAATCTTATATTTTCTGAATTGACAAAACATCAAAATACTCAGTTGAGAAGTTGTCACTATAAGCCAGGAATCAATTTATCAATTTTCTTTACTTTGCTATGTGCATATTTCCTGAATAGTTCTATTATGATTTATTACTCAAAGTTTTTTTCCAATAAAGAGGGGCGTAAAGGGGGGGGGGGGGGGGGTATCTGCACGGAAGAACGCGAAATAAAATTGCCATTTCACGATGAACGAACAATTAAAAATTTCTTGCACGTTGATCTTTTTACCGATTTCACGAAACACGGTGAATAACGAACCTTTTTCACGGCTGCACGTGAAATAAAAATGGCAAAACACGTTGCACGAAAATAACCCTTTACCACCCTAAATAAAAATTGATTGGAAGATTTCAGCTGTGAAGGAGATGTGTTTGGTATTTAGTATATAATCCATACAACAATGCAGCTCCTCAACTGCTCAATACATTTCTTTGCTTTTAGTCAGTTAATGCACAGGATGCTTGTCCATTATCTATAGTTGAACTATAATAGCTTTATGATACTTTAAAAGTTACTTCATTTAAATAGCTGTTACACTGGTCCTTCCTTGACAAGTTTTCTAACAAATTTCTACTGTTTTTTTTTTCTTCTTTCAAGTATTTTTAAGTTCAGCAGGAAGTAAGGGTTTTTGTAGGACTATGGACATACAGTAAATTTCATAATGACTATGGCTTTGGTTTAAGTCAGTAGACACAATGATGCTATAGGTTAGAGTGAGCACTGTCTAAATTTGAAAGGAAAGGTTGGGTTTTCGACTTTTCTGCCCCCATAAATTCACAAAAATAAAACATTGTATGATAACATTACAAATCACATTTTCTTAAGCGTCAGAAGAAAAGATTCTGGCAGAAAATGTGAATATTGCCTTGATGACATAATTTTCACTGAATCGTCTGTTATTCTATGGCTGTATTAATTAAGGTAACAGCAGGTTACTGGTTTTAAACTTTGAAAATCCATTAAAAAGAGATAAATCAAGGCAACAAACAAAAACTCAGGGAATCACTTAAACTCCAAAAGGTTTGGTGCTAGGTGCGTTGACAGGCCATCATAAGCATCTCCTGCTATGCATAATCAGTAAAAATGTCACAATCAGGAATAGGACACTCCGTTAAATTACAAATCGTACGATTATAGTGGTATATAAAGATCTAACACCACTAAATTTTGCCCCTAGTGATTTGACACACTTACACATCGAATTGGTCAAATTCCGATGGTGACTGCAACTTATGTAGAGTAATTTTCAGTCGTTCTTCCTCCTAAACTCTGTCGGACCAGTTTTTGTGTAAGGTGCACACCCTTTTAAATGATTTCCATATAATGTGAACATGAACATACTTAAAAGAGAGGCAAAAGATACCAAAGGGACATTCAAACTCATAAATCGAAAATAAACTGACAACACCATGGCTAAAAAAGAAAAAGACCAACAGACAACAGACAAACAATAGTACACTAAACACAACATAGAAAACTAAAGACTGAGCAATGCGAACCCCACCAAAAACTGGGGGTGATCTCAGGTGCTCTGGAAGAGTAAGCAGATCCTGCTCCACGTTGCTTAACATGTAAACGCCATACGATGGACTATGTATGTTAATGATGAGAAATGGGAAGTTGACAATTAGAGAAAGTTGAAATCATCACGTTTGTCATAAATTCTAGTTTGAAGTCGTCCATCTCCCTGAATATTGAGGAAAAGATCAAGATATGAAGGAGACCTACTTTTGGTAGTATTCTTAATATAAAGTTCACTGTGATATATATATATATGTAGGACTCTAAAGTGCGATGGGGACGCTAAAACGCGATGGTCACGCTAAAGTGCGATGGCCTACGCTAAAGTGCGATGGTTTTATACGCTAAAGTCCGATGTCGCGATACGCTAAAGTGCGTTTTTCCGCAAAAGTGCGTTTGTTCGGGAAAGTATAGACGTTTGCAACGTTAAATAGCATTATGACGCTACAAGCCGTTTGTACAAACAAAAATGGACATGCCGGTAAACGAGAATGTTTGTGCAGATGAAGGTTTTTTACAAGACAAGAAAAGAGAAACAAATGATCCAAATCCGAAACATTTTTGGTTGGTGCTAGAAGAGTTTGTATGAGGAGGAGTTATTTCCCATAAAATCATACAAAGTAACAGAAAATGCAAACCTTTGATCCCGCTGTGTCTGCAGGGACAAATGTGTTCTGTCAGGATACTGAAAATAAAAATACTTCTCATAAACATATAAACTGACGATAGTAAGGGGAAGGTGTATACCGTAAAAGAGAGCGAAAACAGCAAAATACACCAAGTGTCAAAGTATTAAATTCATCCATTTGAAACTCCTATGTCATTTACTTGCGTGAAATAAAAGCTACTTTTTAACTTTCTAATTGAATTATTTTATAAAACAATTTTTTACAACATGGTTCGTCATGTCTGTGAAAAAGATGGATACTCGTCAACAAGACAATAACATAACGACCAGAGGTGTAGTATCACAATATGATTGCAAATGAGACAAGTCTCTATCCAAGGCTAAATGTCATTAATGTAATTAACTATAGGTTAATGGCTAATCCTGCAGATAGCATTCTATATCGACCAAAGGGTATCAAAACGACCAGTGTAAAACAATTCAAACGAGAAAAATAAGACTGGTTTATATACAAAAAACAAATAAGAAGATGTGGTGTAATTGTCAACGAAACAACTATCCACCAAAGACCAAATGTCGTCGATGTATGCTCCTAATAACATTATGACCTTCAACGGGGAGCCTTGGCTTACATCGCACAACAAGCTATATAGGACCACGAAATGACTAGCGTTTAAAAAACAATTCAAAAGAGAAAGACAAAGGCATGATTTATAAACAATACAATAGACGAAAAACTAATTTGAACACAGCAAAAAACAAAAATCATTGCCTGAGCCCAATTCCCGTTCCATCATAGCACTTTAGCGTATGAAACCAATGCACTTTAGCGTGTCATCTGATCGGACTTAAAAAAAAACAAACAACCATCGCACTTTAGCGTCTGACACCATCGCATTTTAGCGTAGACCATCACACTTTAGCGTAACCATCGCACTTTAGAGTCCTACATATATATGAGATATAACCACTCAATGAAATGTTATTTATTGAGTGACAGTACATTACCAATACATCTGAAAGTGAAATTAAAGAACTTTGCAAGATGCTTTATCTTTCTGTTTTTGAGAAGATTCTGAAAGAATACCCATTGGAATACAAATTGTCTGCTGAAATATCAATCCATCAAACTTAACAGATATGCTGTCGATCAAAAAGTCCAGCATTTTGATGAAATCATCTTCTGAATCAGTGTATTTGTTATGGGAATCGGTATCATTCTTCACACAAAGTTAGATTTTCATAACCTTCAACAAGGAATTTGTATCTACTTTTCTCTTTTTTATACAAAAAAGCTCTGTTTAATTCGACGATGTAGTCAATCTTTAAAATGAGCATGGGGAAAGAAGTGTAAAGAGTAGAAATTCAAGGTTTTGATATTTCTGCAAAAACAGGTCGACAGTTTTTTCCTGAAATTTTTAGGTCGATACATCTTGTCATGCTGATCATTTTTGCAATTTACATTTTTAGCCTAGCTCCTACAGTTTTTGACAAAGGCAAGGAAATGACATAAAACTTAAAAAAAATCAACATTTCAGGGGCAACAACTCCAGAGCAAGTGGGCAGATTTTTCCAACTTTTTTGGGGGTAGTTAGAATTTGTTATGCTGATCATTTTTACCTTGTCAGTTTTTCTCTTATTGATATAGATTTATAGATATTAGCCAAATCTGTAGTTTGACACTTATGTTTTATATTTAGACATAGTGGCCATGTTGGTTGATCAACCTAAACTAAAATCACAAACTTTATAGTTGATATCATTCAGATGAGGCAGACAAACTTTGGTTTCAATGCAATGTGTTTCTACAGAGTAGAAGATTTTTAAAGAAAAGTTTAAAAACAATGGAGGCAAAGTGATGGCAAAAGCTCACATACATCTGAGATAAAAATCATATCCTGTCTTTAAAGTTAAGTTCTCATTAAATTAAGAAGAACATTTTGCATTGTAAGCATCTCTAAAAACCACCATCCCAAGTAAGTCAAGATGAATGTATTCTTCATGTCTGAAAATATACTTTCTTTCAATAAATATTTGAGTAATGATAATCTGTTTACAAATTCTGCAGGAATAGATTACTTATTACTGTAATACTATGTAAAGTCAAGTTTACAAATAATGATTTTTTATTTACAGATCAAAATTAACAACAAATAAACATGCACTATATAGCTTTCACTAATGTACATAAACAATATTTGACCTAAAATATTGCATGTCTTGCTTATTAAAAAAAATTGGTTTAAAAAAAAATATACCATAACAAACAGATGTCAAATCTTTTTTTTTTTTTTTTTTAAGGTTTACAATTTCAAACACCTGTTATAATTTTGTCTTGATATTTCTATAATTCCATCATCATTGACAAATAAATCAATCAGCTGTCAATAGATAAATTGATGAGACAAGAGACTGCAGTTCTTTTCATAAAATATCTTAAGAGTAAAAATACTCGTAAGTCATACACATTTCAGTATAACTTACGATCAATTTTAATCGAAATATTTTTTGTGAAAAGAGTAGAAGGAGTATTAACAATTATAAATATAAGGTCAAGTATGGGTAGACTTAATTTTTTTTTGTGAAATAAAGGTTCTCTAAAAATTCACAGGACGGACAGTAGACAAAATTTGCTAATGCTACATAAAGAAAACAGAATTTGTGTTTCTACTCTAAAATCAAAAGCTTTGTGTCCATAATGTGTAATAAACCCACAATATATATATATATATCTACACAGTAAAATGACTCGATAAATGTGTAATGTTTACAAATATGTTGGCAACTTGCTATGAATATCAATGGAACTCAAAACATATTCCCGTTTCAATATGGCACAATATTTTACATCTTCATAAATAAAATATATACATAAGATATGAAATTAAGATTAAAAACTAATGAACATCTTTTTTTAAACGAAATGTACGTTTTCTATAACTATACATGAAATTAGGATTTAAAATTTACAGACAAATTTTGCAAACATTGATCACATGGTCTGACCTAAATAGTTTTTGTGATAGCTTTTTTTTTTTAACACAAAGCCAACATTTTCCAAAAGAACATTTATAAGTGCAAAATGGAGTTTTATTCAATAAAGATAAAAAAAATTATCCAGGATTGGAAATATGCTACGCAATAAACAAACAATTCAAAGTGATTTGACGTCTACTATATGTGTCTTTAATGAACTACTTTTAAAATGTAATATACTGAAACACCATAAGTGCTAACCTTATTTGGTGCAATCAGATTACCCTAAATTCTTGGGACTAAAAAGGCATTTGTGTCATCATAGAGGGAGTTTTTTTTTTCATTCTTTGTGTTTAGAGTGAGCTTAAATTGCAAATACTGGGTATTCATAAGTCTTACAGAGTATTTTTGAGCAATGATAAAAAGTACTTTTAAATCACTGAAAATATTAAAATAGTTGCAGTAAATATCCCAATACATCATACCTTTTATGATTGTAAAGAAATAGCTTACAAAAAAGTCTTTATATTTTGTGTATTTAAATGGCACATTGAATATAAATTGTATTCCATTAATTATACATAAACTACAACAAATTACACTGATATGTAGCTTGTGAACATAACAGCCAATCAAACAAACAATGACAAAGCTACAAAATGGTTTTTTTAAATATCCAAGAGATCAGTGTTCATATTTTTTTAATATGATAATGTCAATCTTGTAGAATAACAAGAAATCATATTCATATATCTATATACAAAGTGAAATTGCAGCAAATCTGCTAGTGCAAGAAGGTTACCTTCTTGATAGGAATGATACCTCTATGAAAAGTTAACTATCTCTAAGGTCTTATGCTAGTAGTACAGGAGGTATTTGGTTTGATCCCTGGGCGGGTAAAAACAGACTTGTACAATGACATTTGATGTTTCTCTGCTAAGAATGCAGCATTTAGAAGAGAGAGCAAAGACTGGTCCACTTTAACATGTTTTCTTATGGACTGTTAACTTCATGCTCCTAGTATTTAGCAGTAAATAAATAAAAATGTCAAAGAAATATAAGGCTTTTAAACTTGCAGTATTTATATTCTAAAGAAGCTTTTATCAGATTTTTGAATTTGATACTGTAAACTTAATTTCATGTACTATCTACAGTATGACTTTAACATGTTTGACTAATGGTTTATGTTGGAAAATGTAAACCATGTGATGATCAGATTGTCAAAGCCTTATCTGTTGCAATATCTTTTTCACTTTTATCTTTCATATCGACCAAATAAGATTAATTTCTAAATATTCATAGAGCAAAATTATTCCGACTACATTCAAATATTCTAAAAAAAAATGTGTAAAGAAATAATCATATGATAGAATAATGTCACCTGAATAAAACTTTGATATACTTTTAGTACATAAACTGTCAAAAAATAATTTCTATTAACTACAATATCAATTCAACACACATCACTGTACAAAACAAAAATATGAATATCAAAGTATCTTAATTTGTACAAAAAACTATACATTTCATTTAATTATTTACTGTAACCTTTTGAATAAAAGTAAGTTCAATGTCAACCCAAATACTATAATAAAATATCTCTGCAAAGATATACAATTTGGAATGAATCTAATTGAAAAATAGCTAATTTACAAAAAGATAAAAAAAATATTGTGATGTTATAACAAAAAAAGCTATTGTGTCTTTTTTGTATTAATCACCTTAACAATCAGAGGCTACCAAATACAGAAAATTATGTGCAATACATTTTACAAAAATTTAAACACTGTTTACAAGCGCAATTCTAAGAAAGTGTTTAATATTCCAATCAACAAAATAAACTGTATATATAAATGACTTAAATGTAATAATGGCAAGGTTTTATAATAACACAAGATAAAGATATGATCAACCAGTTTGAAAGCTATTTAAAATCACAAATCAGTTTTGAAAATATTTGAATAATATGAATATCATAACAAACATTAAATACATAGTGGATATTATATGTTTTTATATACATTTCTACTTTGAAAGATTAAAAAATAACAGACAGGCTTTAAGGAGACAAATCACTCACCTGGTTAATATTCAGTTCAAAGATAACATAACTTCTGACAAATTCAACTTTGGCTGCCATGGCTTTGTTTTCATTAAAAATAAAGTGTCAAAAATATTTTATCAGGTAGTTTCAGAGGAGAAGTCTTTTGAAAGAATCTGCATTTGGCATTCATAGTTTCTATCAATCAGAATAATGAGACATATTAAAAAGGACCTTCCATGTGTTATTCCTGCCAACTTTGGTTCAAACTTGACCTGTGGTTTTAGGGTAGATTATGAAAATGAAAACTGTCTAAGATCAACATCCAGTCAGATGGACACTGGACGCAAAGTGATAACAATAGCTCACATGGAACTATGAAGCAGTTGAGCCAAGCAAACTTACTGTTAAATTCATGATTCATAAAAAATTGAAATAAAGTTTTGAACAAAAACAAAAAATGTTAGTTATCAGGGTTTTCAAGGTCTTGTCTGTCCAAAATCAGAGAAGTATTTTGGGGGTAAAATTCTGTTAAAACAGCCATTAAGTGTCCAAAATTACGAAGTTGTTCCGGATCTGTTACCATTTGCTGTAACTGTTGTATCATGTTAGCATTATTCTCTTCTGTAATCATTAAATCTGTTGGCTGGTTGATGGTTTCCAAAGTGTCAGCTGGTATATCAACTTCAGGTATCCCAAAGTTTTCCTCTTGATTATGTTCTGCCAAAGACAGCTGCGGGTTACCTTCCATAGGGTATGCATTGGCTAGTGTCAGAGTCAAATTTGAAAAGTCCACCAACTGTTCAGCAGTAAGCTCTTTCTGAACAGAGTTCAAATCAATTTGATTAGTTTCTCTGACGGGAATGAACTGAGGAGGTTGAGTACCTTGTGCATGTTTAGAAAGAAGCTTTTGTTTGAGACCTTCTACTGATGCTTTATTCTTCAGCAAATTAATCAAAGTTGGATGTTGGTCCGGGAGACTTTGAGATCTGTTATAAACAAGACCTTGGGCAGGTAAGGTGTAACAAAGGTTTCCATTCACTTGTGCACTGTAAGTACAGTTACCATTTACTATTTGATCCAAACCAGACGGAATTCCATTAATTCCAATTTCATCTAAGACTGTCACTGGGATACTGGCTTCCTGCTCTGGAGATAAAACCTGAGACTCATCAATCGAACTCTGTGGACTTGCTACAGCCATTCCACTTGACAATGAGCCTTGAGGACTCAATACTGGGTAACCATTGGAGTAACTCATTCCATTCATAATGGTGCTTTCAGGTGACATTATGTTGTATGTAGAAGCTGGACTGGGTTCCTGTGACATAGGTGTAGACTCATTACTGTTTCTCTCTCCTCCTCCATATAAGGTTGAGGTAGGACTGGGATGGTCATATTTGTCAATAGTAGCTACCATATCATTTATCTGCTGATCACTATAAATAAATGTAGGTTCTGTTGTTTCATGTTTGGACTTCTTAGTCACAGGTATGTCACTAGGAGGTTCTTCTTTAACAGTATCCTCAATTGACATATGACTGAAAAAGATTGTAATTTACATGTAAAAATTTCATCTAGAATTTGTAAAGAAATATAAATACTAATCACCATATTAAATGATTTGAAAAAGATTTTGTCATGGTACATTTTCATTTGCTGTAGATTGAGACATTATAGCAGCCTTTTTATTACAGCGAAACCCAGTCTAAACCAAACATTTTGTTAATAGAAAACCTGTAAACCAAATGCTTTATTTAGAGCTATTCCACAATTGATCATGGTGGGAGGGATGGGAGACACTCAAATTAATAAATTGTGGGCGGTTGCATTTTCATAAATAAACTTAAATATTTTAAGTACATTGTAAAATGAAAATTTTATTCTATGGTTGGTTGAGGTCTAAAAAAGTGCCTCCCATGCCCCTCATGCATTTCATTCTTGAACATTCCTTATAGAAAACCTGCCAAAACCAATGACTTTGTTTACACAAAATCTGTTTAAACCCAACACATTGTTTACTATTGAAAACGCATTACACAGTATAGCTGACTTATATAAACTGTGAAACCAAATTTCAGAAATCCTTGTATTGTAGTTCCTGAGAAAGATGTAACGAAAATATTCATGGGACGGACAGACGGACTGACTGACAGATGGATGGACGGACAGACAGAAGTAAAACAGTATACCCCCACTATTTTAAAGCAGGGGTATAACAAACAAGTTTATTTATAGAAAACCTTTAAATTAACTGTGATCATTACAATCAATAAATACACTTTAATCATTCTACCTGTGTAACTGAACTCTAGTCTAAGTCCAGAAAGAACTTAGTTTAAACAGGTTCCAATAGAATTCATTCTGCTTCTCTATCAAAAACCTTGAAACAGTAAAGAAAATAAGGTGCATGTTTGCCTTTTTAAAAACAAGTTGAAATTTCTAATGGATTTCTATATTTGAAATATCTTTAAACCAAGAATTTGAATATCATATTTCTTTCATGTAAATGCATACCTATGAAACTTTATTGGCAAACAGGAGAGTGGAGGGAGACAAAAATACCCAAAGGCTATGATGACAAGTAACTAGTGTACAACTAATAAGCCTAGACAAAAATTTCCTTCAACTGTTCTTTCTTGTTTCCAAGCATTTTTTTCTATCTTTATTGTTTTACTATAGTTACTCACTTCAATCTCACATATAATCTTTCCTCAAAATCCAGGTAATCATCCTTAATGGTCATTTTTCTACCTAAAAAAACAAGTTAATAACATTTTATCAAAGCTTCCACTACAATACAAGGAATTTTTACAATGCTACACATTTTTATTTAGGGGCCAGCTGAGGACCACCTCCGGGTGCAGGATTTTCTCGCTGCATTGAAGACCCATTGGTGGCCTTCGGCTGTTATCTGCTCTTTGGTCGGGTTGTTGTCTCTTTGACATATTCCCCATTTCCATTCTCAATTTAACAATACTCACTATTGATATTGTCATGCATATTTGCAGCACTTGAGACCATTCTAAAGTAGGATGGGTTTTTTCCAGCCTTAACAATCCTAGGTTTAAGCTTTGACTATTACATACTAATACATAGCATAGAACTCAGTCTTCAACAATAACTAAAAGGTGTACTATCAGTGATACTTATAAATAAATGATTACAATATATTTTTTTTTTTTTTCATTTTTATTTTCCCTTTATAGCAGCCATATGGGGAGTTTATACATTTCTGATGATATTTTTATTGTGTAGTCATTTTTTTCTACATTTCTTTCTACATTTAAATCAGTTGATCAGATGCATTTTCCAATAAACCAATTTTTCAAATTGGTGCCAAAGTAAATAAATTCAAGATTCTTGGATTTTAATATTGAAAGCTTTTTTTTTTTATCATTTTTTTATTAGGCACTGTAACTTGGCTATGCCAATCTTTTGCTTGCCATCCATTCTTTTAAATAGGACAAGGTTGAAAGTGTGTGGTGACTCTTGTCTGCATAGCTGGTTTGATTAACCTGGACCATAGTACACAAATACCTTGTTAACTATATTTTTCATAAATTTATCAATTTGCTTTTTCTGGAAGTAGATTTTCTTCAACTGTCGTGGTTTATGAAAATGTCATTAGTTCATGTGATTAAAAAAAATCATGATTTTTAGATTAATATATTAGATCTCATTAGAAAATATAAAGTTCATGAGGTGCTTAAATTCATATCTGCTTGCACCAAGAGTTTCAAGAAATATTGATAATTAACAAACATGCATTGCTTTGATTGCACCATTAAAAGTTATTTGCTTTTGTGCCTCATACAAATGTACCAGTGGGGCCATTGTCAGTTTTCTTCTTGTCTGTAATTTCCTGCCAAATCAATCTATGTTCAGAAGTTTCCATTTAATCAAATAGAAACAAATTTGTCCACTTGACCAATATTTGTCCATTCTGGATAATTAGATTTTCAAGTAAAAAAGGCATGACAAGCCTGAAAAATTTAACTGGCATGTTGAACCATAAAAATCCTTATGATCCTCTATTTCATAGTTTTTGTGATTGTTAGAGATTACCACATCACTTTAAGAGCCGAACGTAGTTGTCTAGGGTTAATCAGTTTTAAAGACACTTACTATCTTGATAAAATGATGCAAATGCTTCGTCTCTGCTATTTTCTCCAGGATAGATCCATTGTAAAGACACTTCTTCATTGTTCTCCTTTAGATGTACAGATTTCACCAACTGTGCTAAACTTTTCTTCTTAAAGGAGTCTGCTTTGAATGGTTTTGCATGTCCAACTTTTATTTCTCCTGAAAAAAAATCCCCCAAAACTAACTGTCATATCTTTGTTTTGTTTGAAAGTATTTAGAGTTTCAATGAATTCGATTATTACACACTGTACATTTGTTTCCAATATTCTTTTTCTTTTTCTATAACTTTTCAAAGAGTGTGTGTTGAATAACAAATATCATCAACAGGAATATGTATCCATAGGACACCATGCAACACTAGCACTATCACATTTCAATATTCTGTGAATTGTAATATCTGGACCGAATTTGATATATTTTTAAATAACTCATTTTACAGTGAACATGTATATTTTAAAAAGTTTTTTTTAATATGACCACTACTTTATAGTAAACTACCTTAACCTAAAACTGTTGTTTGATATAAGAATGACGAAAGAACAAACAAACAAGGCAGTCACAGACTCTATGTATATAGCATAGAAAATAAAGAACAAGTTTGACTAGTGAAAAATTACTTTTTTCTACATAATTAAATAAATCTTTCAACTTTTAAGTCAGACTTGGCCGTTGTCTTTGCTGAAAAGTGATTTAATAATTATGAAGTAACTTGTCAAGGAATAGACTTTCTTTGTAGTTTTAGTTCTGATCTTAATCGCTCCTGTCAGTTGTGAAGAACACAGGTAAAAAGTGATTAACAAGCATTAGCCAATGTCTAAAGGAGGCATTAAAATGGTAATTTGATTACCAAACCACACCTGAGTGGCAGTTTTATTCCAAGAAAAAGCATTGGAAAAACAAAAAATAATGCGAAACAGCAATCAAATAAATCCCATTCAAATGAAATGATAAAAATTATTACTGTAAAAAAACAATTCTTGACCTAAATCCCAATCTACCATTTTGGTCATTGGCTTTTTAGATTAGGTCTTGTCTGGCAAATATGATTGTTTCTGGACGTTTGGTTGCAGGTCTAGGTGTAACAAAAAAAGTCCTGATTTTTGGTTGACATTGCCTTCTTTCTACTGCCCTTATCAGATCAGTTTCGCTCAGACCTAAGCACTTTCATGGTTTATATGCTCATTTGTTCAGTGTGGTCAAATGTCAATGCAGGCTACAGTATGTTACACCTATCAATATCCCTCGGTCATTCAGGTCAAAATAAGATGAATAAACTGCTTCGCTGAGCGCAGCTGGATACTCCTGCAGAAGTCCAACCCTGAACAGTTGGGGCAAAAATGGACACAATATTCAAGCTTGATACAGGTCTGAATTTGGATTGTAATTAAATATTTGACATATTATGGTTTCTGAATAAATGTAGTCAAAGAACTTGAAATTGGTTATATGAATTGAATTTATATTCAATTAAAGATTTCTTGCTGTTGTGCAATACTTAGTAAATCTATTGTTAGACTATAAACAAATAAAGTTCAATTTCTTCTCAATGTTATATTTGAAATTTATGAAAATCAATGGGGAGATTACATCAATAGCTATAAATAACTCACCAAAGTTTCATGAGAACTGCTGAAAGCATTTTTGAGTTATTGTCCAAAAACTGGAAAATCCCCCCTTTTTTAATGAATAAAACCCCATAACTCAGAAATGTAAAATCTAAAATTTATAAAATTCTAAAGGGAGCTTACATCAACAGATATAAACAATTCACCAAAGTTTCATGAGAACTGCTGAAAGCATTTTTTAGTTATTGTCTGAAAACTGGAAAATCCCCCTTTTTTTTATGAATAAAACCCTGTAACTCGGAAACGTTAAATCTAACATTTATAAAAATCCAAAAGGGAGCTCATGTCAATAGATATAAACAATTCACCAAAATTTCTTGCAAGTTGGTAAAAGCATTCTTGAGTTATTGTCGGAAAACTGGAAAATCTCCATTTTTTAATGAATAAAATCCCAAAACTCGGAAACGGTAAATCTGAAATTCATAAAAAACGAAAGGGAGCTCACGTCAATAGATATAAACAATTCACCAAAGTTTCATGCATATCGTTTAAAGCTTTTTTGAGTTAATGTCCGACATGTTGAGGACGGACAGACAGACAGACGGTCAACGGTATACCATACTATGTCCGGTAAACAGGGTATAAAAATGGTCAAGATTGACATTTGTTTAACGCAGGTGGTCAACTTAGGGTAGCAAAGATATTCTGAGCATTTTTGCTAGTATGAGCATCACAGACATAGGTACATGAACCATTAAAACAAAAATTAATAACACTGTATAATTAAATCATAATATTGACTTACCTTGTTCAGTTTTATAAACAAAAGAAGCAGAAACTGCACCACACATATTTTGACCTTGACCATCTGTAATGACTCTGTCTGAGAACCTCAGAAGAAAAGTGTAGCTCTTGAAAGGCTTCAAAAGTTTTAATTTCATTTCACAATCTTCTTTGGCAGAAAACCCATCAATTAATCTGTCAAAAAATATTCAAACTTACAACACAATTTATTTTTTTTATTTATAAATTCCTATATGGCCATATATACCAATCAAATGTTCACTGAAACATGCTTAATGCCTATCTTTTCTAGATTATAATAATGAAAACTAAAAAGATCAAAGAAAACAAACTTTAAACTTTTCTTAATTTATTTATTTCTGCATTTTGTGGCATTTTATGTTGACAGCAAAATATTCCCAACAAACAGAATACAAATTTTACAAAAAATTAAGCTTTTTTTACAAAATAATCAAGACAAAGCTTTACCTAGAAGTACATATTTTTGTAACAGATAAGATGTGAGACAGACATATAGTACAAAAACATACCCTTCTGTCCAATAATCCTGTAGATGGAATTTGGTCAGATTATAAACAGAGAGAACCCACATCCAGAAAGTTGCTGATTTATTCTTAGCGTCCCTGGATTCCTTAACATCCATCATCTTATCCAAACAGAACTTTCTAAACTGTATCTCTGTTTTACCTGTTATATTGGATTTCGGTAATCCTGAAATAAAAGAATTAATTTTAAGCATATTTTCACTACATATCTTTGACAAGAATAACTAGAAGAGGCATCTGACTTTATTTTTCTCTTTGGTGACATTAAAATATACAGTATAATGAATGATCATATTTTTTTCTCTGTCAAAACTCAAATACTATTGATTAAAAAAAACAAAATCAAGGTGAATTAAAACCACAAACATTTTTTCTTAATTGGTGTTGCTGAACAATGTTAGGTTTCTAAAGTATAACCTATTTTAGCGCAAGATTTTTCACCCATTTTAGTGAAAAGTGAAATTATTAATGCCCATTTTAGCAGCAGAAATTAATTCTTAATGTAATAATAAATTTTAATAGAATCAAGACAGCACAAGATAAAACATATGAGGTCGATTGTAATACAGAACTAAAAGTCTGAAAAGTTGACTCAGATGTTACAAGCCTGTTCTAGCCTAGAATTTATATCCTAGAGAAAATACATAATGGGCTCTTGATACACCCCCTGTACAATACTCATAAAATTGAGCTAGGAACCTTTCCTTCTCTTTTTCTTGTCTAGATTCATCTATACTTCTTATTCTTAACTGTTATTGTTTGCAATTTGATGATAGTATCCAGAAAGGCATAACTGGCTGGGTGACAATAATAAAATTGCTCATTATAATGAGCACGGAACGACTCTACCATAATTTGACCATGTAAGTCTTTGCTTACATGGGCTATCAAAAATAAACAGGTGAGCGGATTAATCCTGCACTAATATGGGCTATATAAGTTGAGCTAAAATGTCCCCAAGCAGTTCAGAATTTTTCACTTAAATGTCCTGCGCTGATGTGAGAGAGCTTACAAGGCCTGACAGACAGAGACATGGACACTCATTGTACAAATGCCTGATATTTCTATATCTTTTGTACCTGGATGCAAAGGTTGCAAAGGGGATAAAATAATATTATCCACAATCTGGCTTTTTGAAATACTAGAAGTTTGCATAATTTACTGAAAGTGAGCCAAAAGCAGTAAGTAGTTCATCAACTGCAAAGAACAGTTTCATCCATACAGATAAATGATGTAAATTTGAGCACCTATTTTAATTTAAAATCATATCTATATCAGTCTTAAAGTAAAGGAAAACTTTTAACCAAATCTTGAAAGATGTTAAATTTGTGACAATAATCATATATCAAGCATGTAGAGAAATATGAATAATAAATAGAGAATGTGTCCATGGGACATAGATGATGCCCCTGCTTGCATATAAAGTTATAAGGGGACATAACAACAGAACTGTTAAAATGATGCCACACCCAAATTCAAACTTGATCTGAGTTTTGTGGTAATAAGCATTGTGTATGAGTTTCATAACATTTGGTTGAGGCAAATTGAAGTTAAAGAAAATTCAGCAATTTTTCCATATAAAAGTGGCATAACTCTAGAACAGTATAATTGATGCCACCCAAATTCAAACTTGATCTGAGTTTTGTGGTAATAAGCATTGTGTACAAGTTTCATAACATTTGGTTGAGGTAAACTAAAGTAAGAAATCGGAAACGACAAATTCAGCAATTTTTTCATTTGTAAAGCAACATAACTCTAGAACAGTAAAAGTGACGCCGACCAAATCCAAGCTTGATCTGTGTTTTGTGGTAACAAGCATTGTGTATAAGTTTCATAACATTTTGTTGAGGCCAAATAAATTTGAGAACGGAAACTAATTTTGGGATGTACTTACATGTGTACGAATGGACGTACAGACAGACAAGGGTAACACTTAATGTCCCCTCCACTGCGGTGGGGGCATAAAATACCAACCTGAAAGCTTTGATGCTAGATGCATAAGTTCATCTGGTCTTAAATCCCTTCCATCTAAAGTTTTGAATTTACTGTTCAGCATAGCTGATACAGTAGACCATGGCAAGACAGAAGGACTGGTCAGAGGAAAATCCATCTGCAATTAATGATATTAAATACTTTTTTATCTTGTCACCTTTCAATGAAATGAAATATTCAATTGCAACATTGATTTTTACCAACTCTTTCTTTTAAATAACTAATTTGAATAATGAACCAAATTCTCAAGCAACATGTAAATTGTTTAATTTTTGATGGCAGGATGAATTTGGCAAATAATTGTGATAAGAATGCATCTATTTACAAAAAAGTTAATTACTGTGGAATCATTTATTTTCGTGCCCTCCAAATATTGGTTGAATGAGGAAAAATGCAATTTGTGGATATTTGATTTCATGGTTTTGTCAAAGTCTGCATACAAGCCTATAGACAATTTTTGTAATTCCTTGAGCATGCTGGGATCGTAATATATTGCGGCCTCTACCCAAAATACTGTTTTTTTTAGCTCCAATGGCTCTCCATACTTTGAAAGGTCAACTGTATAGTTTTTAATTTAGAAATTGATGCATGTTCCCTCAACCTAAGGCTATTTATTGTCATGTTTCTCAGGTTTAAGGTGCAGTTTGAGCCCAAATACTAACCTTGTAAATTGAAATCGGACAAAACTGGTTTTTCTGGAGGGGTGGGCTTCCCTTTAGTGTCTGGGACACACACAGTACAGACCCTAAAACTTTTTAAATTAGTGTCAATCCGCGGGCAGATATAACTACGGTTCGTGTTTATTATTGAAATACGCTTAGGGAATGACTACTTCTGGTTGCAGACCTGTCCAGGTGAAGGCAAAAATCCGGAAAAATCTGTGTATTCCAGATTATTGTGGAAATGACCTTCTTTAGACTACCATACTTAGTTCAGGTTCAGTTCGATTCAGCACTTTTGGAGTCAATGTGTTCACTGGGTTCATCTCTACATGCAGACTTCAGCGAGATACATCTATTAGCATCCCTCAGTCTTCCAGGTTAAGAAATAGGATGAAAAATCATCGCTTTTTGCACCTGATGACCAACTTTAGGTCCACCTAACCCCACTTCATTACCCCAACTACTCACCCCATGATCCCCGATCTTAGCTAATAATTTTTTTTTAATGTTTTTCTCTAAACTTTATAGTTTTCAAGATAAAAGCAAAAATATCAGAAAATTGTTTAAAAAAAATTCATTATGGGCCATATAGCATCAATTGACTATTTCCAATGAATAGTAAAATTGGTAGAGAAAGGCATTCTGATCATTTTAAGGTTACAGTTTTTTTTTCTTTCTCATATAATTTTCAAGATAAAAACCAAAATCATATGCTAACCCTTCTGTTCTATTCTAGCAGAAATGGCCATGTTTGTTGATGAATCAAATTCTTTAATATAAAAACTTTAAAACAGAATGAGAGTTTAATCATCAAATACAGCATAGACTATGTTTTCACCTGAGGGAACTTACAGGTTAAGCAATTGGACAGTTTCTCAGACTAAGGGAAATACCCAGAAAAGGGACATAATTGATTGTTCTTTTTGTGTTGGGGGTTTCAACAAATTAATAAATAATTCATTAATTCAAGTGTTAAAATTTAGGTCAATGTCAAAATAGAAAACATAGGAAGTTTTGATATTCAAAAAAAATGTTTGAAATGTCATCATTCAAGCTTTCAATAAGGTTTGAAATCTTCTATATATTTAAAATGTGTCTACTTTTATTTACATACCAGATCTTCAACACTGAAACACTGCCACAACAAAGAACCATGGGCATTTGATCCTTGGCTGGCTCCAGTTGTTATAATTATCGGTAATGATATGGTCTGAGAAAAAGAAAATGTATTATGAAAATATCAATTTTTAGGATATGACACTTAATAACCAAGGTAATTCTTTTAAAGGTAAGACATACATGTACAATAAATAACATTTGATCAATAGATAGTATTGTTCAGGTCTGAAATATCAATGCAAAGAAATAGATATCATAAACTGGTGAAAAATAAAATAACTCAACTTTTACACAATTATACAGATTTTATTGAGAAACTCATGATTCTACCTGCAGAAATTTGATAAAAAGTGGTATTTTACACTCAACTTTTAGATTAATATTACTAATAGAGACAAGTTAAGGAATCATCTTTAAACCTTTTATTTTGGCTTAATAAACTTTGCATAATGGTTAAAATTATACTTTTGTTGTTCAATCATTGTGTCTGGTGTATGTTGGAATTTATATCAATTAATTTATAGTTTGAAATAAGACTACGTTTATTTTTTTTAATAAATTCTGTGTACAGATTTACTATGAGCATTGCAAAAGATGTGTCATCTTGTACTTTTTATGAAGTTTATGCAAACTCATGATTTCATATGATTGTTCTTCAAGGTTTAAAACTCTTAGCTTGATTTCAATGACTGCAATACTGATACAGTATTGTTTATTATGGTTGCACTTGTACTTATATTTCCGTTTTCTTTTAAACTGGTATCATTGAAATGAGTGCTTTGTTTGTTCTATTTTTTATTTATTGCATATTCATTTTTTAATCTTTTGTCATTCCACTAATCATGATTTAAACTGGAGAGGATTGTGATAAAAAAAAAAACTTTAACCCAACCACATGTTTATATAGCTGTCCCAAATCAAGAACCTCATGAGTAGTTGTATCTATTTAATTTTCATAAATCTTTTTGTCATTTAGGGAATTTGTTGTTGATAGGTGATCTTTGATAATCTGTTTAATTTATTCACAACATTTCTAGAATCAGGGTGATTTGTTGCTTAACAGATAAAGATAATCAATAAATTCATATCATCGCTATTTTCAAAAATTTTGCTTTGCTTTTTTTTTGTGATAATTTTTCATATCACGCTACTCACGTGATATGGGTTTTTCTCAGTCATTTAGACAGAGAATGTTTGATGTTGCCTCAGAAAACAGCAATAAATAGATTATCAATGGTCTTTCAAACTTGAGGATGTTTCTCTTCTACATCTCATCTCAGTCGAAAAACACCCTCTTTTGAAACATTATCTATAATTTTTAAATACATCAATGTCTTATAATTTTTTACTTGTGTCAAATCTAAATGCATAACGACTGTTTTACTATTAAATCTCTTCTTTAAGCTGTCTTTTCATAGAATTGTAAAACAACTCATTGAACCATTCAATTTATGATACCTTTGACAGAATCAAATTATGGCAAAATAAAAATTTTATATTATTGAGATTTCAACTTACCCTAAATACAAGTTTTTTACTAGCAACATTCTGTTCTGTTACAAAAACAATTCTGTATTTCTCCTCACAGACATGTTTGTCCTGATCCCTCTTGAAGTCAGTCAACTCCAAGTTCCTGAATGTAGCATATCCCTGCTGTCCAAATGGCATTGTTCGGGAATTTCCTTTATTAAGCAATGGGAAACTCTTCTCAGCTAATTCTTCCCAAGCATTTCGATGATGAATATCATTCAAAGAATCTTCATGACAGAAGTAAGCTTTAACTTTCTGTCGTCCAACCAAACCTTCTGTAGCTACCAATCTATAACAGGACATTAATTAATAGCTACTGTTCAGTAATAACACTCAACAATCATTACCTACTTAAAATGGTATCATTAATTTTCTTAAAAATAGTAACAGTTGCTATAAAAAATAGTATTAGTTGTTTCTGAGATACATTTATAATTGCTAGACACTATGCTATGCAAAAAATAATCTGGAAAAACAAATATGCTGTTAAATCAATTCTCAACACAAAATTCACATTTTCTTATAGATTACAACCCTTTCATTTGTTAATTCAATAGAAAACATTCTTAATAGACACTTAATCAAATTGCTTCTGAGCACTGAGGGATAAAGATTGCTTTCATTTTGCATGAAAAACTTGTAAAAAACAAACATTGCACTGTATTTAGCAAAGAAACATAGTCCAACAATATTTCAAATTGAGTTATATCCAAACAGCATGTACTATTTTAGGCAATTTTTTCAGCAAGTAGGTTAATATGCAACACTTCATTCTAAATGGAATAAATATCTGAATATACATTATAAATCAATTGTTTGACATGTACATGGATATGATCTAAAGAAATTCACCTCACTGCCCTATATGTTATTTGTACTCACAACACATTTGTAGAGAAGATGGCTGAAATACAGCTAGACAGCAGAGATAGGCATTCAATTGAACTTAGTGTAATCTTTACTCAACATCCCCCCCTCCACTCCAAAAAAAAAACTAAATGTTTTTTTAGGAACAACACAGAATAGGCCCGCATTTAAAAAAGCTTGAAATCATTTTTAGGAGTGGAAATTTGAGAATAAAGTCTGTATAACTGTTATTTTCACGAAATTTTCAAAGTCCAAAGCCCGTAATTTTGACACAAATCAGCAGAGCAGAACCCAACATAAACTTAATCTGTAACTCATCATAGTAGACTCTCACATACTAAAAATCAGCTCAATATATGTGAAGGTGTTTAGGAAAAAAAAATGTGTAAACTGTTATTTTCACAACATTTTCAAAGTCCAAAGCCAATAATTTTGGCAAAAATCGGTGGAGTGGAATTCAACGTAAACTTGATCTGTAACTCATCATAGTAGACTCGCATAACTAAAAATCAGCTCAATATGTGAAGGCATTTAGAAATAAAAAGTCTGTATAACTGTTATTTTCACAAAATTATTTCAAAAACTTTGTGGCGGGGCCATAAAAAACCAGGATAATTAATGACCTCTTAAACAAATATTCAATCTAAAAGATGACAAATTGAATAAATAAAAATAAATATCATTTTGAGCCTGAATCATCAGGTCTTTATAATCTACACTGCACTATAGGATGAAGATTGAACATATCTTATGCAAGTCTCAAAAAAGAAGCTATTGGTCTTCTCTGTGCCTATATAGCTATGATCAACTATTCACAACATGAGATATGCTTGATCAGGCCTAAATAACTTTGACTCTGACTTTTCATCAGTCATAAAGTTCAATCTGACTTTGATAAGTTTGACTATAACTAATCAAGTCCTCTTCCTGTTTGTTGGTAAAACACACAAAAACCTAATGTTTCTATCAAGAAAAACTCACAAGTACCATCCAATCAACAATTATCAGATTTGCATCATATTAACATTTTAAAATATCTTGACACAATATGATGCCTTTTCAAAATTTTTCCCTGTGCTCTCCGGTCAAAAATCTTCATATTGTGACTTTGAGTTGATATCTAACAGTATCAATATGCAGAAAACCTGATAATCGGAACATATAAATCAGTTTATGTTACCTGACAGTAGCAGTAAATTTTGGGCACTTGAAGGTTTTTCCTGGCTTAGTTTCTTCATCATCAGCAGCATCCTTTGTCCTCTTTTTTGACCCAAGTTCTACTTTTATGAGATGACGGGTTTGTTCAGTAACCAGAAATGTGCTGATTGGAAAAGATAAAAAAAGCAGTGGAAATAATGGTTCCCTTTTTTATATAAGACAAACAACAGAAGAGAAATATATTTAAATAGATAACTTCTTAATCCTATATTTCTGTGTTTTGATAGTGAAGCATAAGTACATCATGAATCTAAGTGATGAGCAATATTTTTTTTCAGTATACTTTTGACTTTTATGAGGGTAATTTTCTTTCAGGCCATTAGTTTTCTTGTTTGTATTGTTTTACATTTATTATATTGGGGCTTTTTATAGCTTGCTATAAGGTATGAGTTTTCCTCATTGTTGAAGGCTGTAAAGTGACCTAAGTTTGCTAACCTTCTACGTCATTTGGTCATTGGTGGAGAGTTATCTCATTGGCAATCATATGACATCTTCTTATTTTTATATTTACCTCAAATTATGTTAACATAAAAACAAAAGATAACAAATCATCCATTGTGTTTATGATCTAAGAAATAAAAATCACAAAATAATCAGTGGTGTTTGTAATCTTAAACAAGAGGCTCTCAAGAGCCTGAATTGCTCACCTGTAATTTTTTGCTTAAATCCTTCATAAATGAGTATTTTTGCTTTTCAATATGGCTTTAAAATGCCATTTAAATGTTTTTTGTATCTGTCATATTTTCTTCAAAAGCAAAAAAATGCATTTTACCCCTATGTTCCATTTTAGCCATAGTGGCTATGTTTCTTGACGTACAAGGAAATAAAATACAAAATTTATACTAGATACTCTGAAACTCATTCAGCAGTTTCAAAGGAAAATATTTTATAAAGTAAGCAAACTAGATGAACAAATTGTGAAAAATTGTCTTTAAAGGACAATAACTCCTTAAGGGATCAATTAACAATTTTGGTCATATAATAACTTATTTGTAGATCTTACTTTGCTGAACATTTTTTGCTGTTTACAGTTTATCTTTATCTATGATAAAATTCAAGATAATAACCGAAAACTGCAAAATTTCCTTAAAATCATCAATTCAGGGGCAATAACCTAAAAATCAGATACCCGATTTGGCTGATTATTTCAGGGCAGGTAGACCTTGACCTAATGAATACTTTAACTCTGTCTGATTTGCTCTAAATGCTTTAGTTTTTGAGATATAAGTCAAAAACTGCATTTTACCCTATGTTCTATTTTTAGCCATGGCGGCCATGTTTTCTGAGGAAACAGAAAATAAAACACTTTATTCTAGATAACCTAAGAATCATTCAGCTTAAGTTTGGTTTAATTTGGTTCAGTAGTTTCAGAGGTGAAGATTTTTTTAAGTTAGAAAATATGATAAACAAATTGTGTAAAATTGTCCTTAAAGGGCAATAACTCCTTAAGGGGTCAATTAACAATTTTGGTCATATAAAAACTTATTTGTAGATCTTACTTTGGTGAACATTTTGGCTGTTTACAGTTTATCTTTATCTTTAATAATATTCAAGATAATAACCAAAAACTGCAAAATTTCCTTAAAGTTACCAATTTAGTGGCAGCAACCCAACAATGGGTTGTTAGATTCATCTGAAAATTTCAGGGCTGATAGAACTTGACCTAATGAACATTAATACCCCATTTCAGATTTGCTCTAAATGTGTTAGTGAGATATAAGCCACAGCTTAAGTTTGGTTGGAATTTGTTCAGTAGTTTCAGAGGAGAAGATGTTTGAAATAGTTTACACCTGACGAACGACGATGATGACGGACGTCAAGTGATGGCAAAAGCTCACATTTCCTTTGGAAAGGTGAGCTAAAAAGAAATTCTAAAATAAGACAATTGAAACAGATCTCGTGTTGTTTATGCAAATAATTTTACCGAACCCTATGTTAAAAGCCCTTACAATAAATGTGTTTTCCTTTTTTCGTCATAAATCTTTAAGATTTTATCTTCAAACATTTTGGGAAAGCTGTTTCATCTTCATATACAAAATGGACCCTTCAAAGGGGAAAGATGTTAAGTAAAAAGTAACAGAAGATGACCTCAAACAATTGGAATTTTTCTTGTTTCATAGGTTGTACTTGAAATTTTCATCCATTGGGATATCAAAGCAGGGTTACTTGGCAAAAAGGATGAAAACCAATATCCCCATCTTTCACATTGGACAGGCCTACTTTATAGGTTTGGAAAGTGTATTTTTTCTTGCAACATGTTTGCATTTTTTTTTCATATGCTTTGCTGCTTGAAGTTCATTGTTCACCATGATTTGTGAAAATTGATAAAAAGCAAAGTATAGATATTTTTTTCGTTTCTCGAGCATCACAAAATGTCCATTTATTTCCTGTTTGTAACATACCTCTTCCCTTTTTTATGAACTTATTGGATGATGACATGCATTTTTTGTTTTGAACAGCAGAGACAAAAAATTTGGCACTAAAATGTAAGGAATGATGACAAAAAAAGAGAACACAAAAAACTGTAATAAAGTTCAAGGTCAAAGTAATTCTATACATATCTATGTCTTGTAAGATTTTTTTCTTCTTTTCTTTTTTCCAACCGACCGACCAGAAAAAAATCTTTCGCATGGAAAATCTATAAACCAACAAATCAAAAAAACCTTGGCCCAAGTAACATGATTTTTTTCCCTAACTACTAAATCTGAACAGAGCATGTCATTTGAAGAGTGTTCCTCCTGACATTTATAGTACAAAACATATTGTGCTCAATGAATACTGTAGATTCTTTATTATTCGTGGGATACCAATTTTTGTGGATTTCGTTGGAACAGGTAAACCACGAAATTAAATGTTCAACGAATGACAAATTTTATATATGCTTGTATGCAGACTTCGGCAAAACCACGAAATTAAATATCCACAAATATGCAAGTTTTCCTTAATCCTTGAAAATTGGTATCCACGAAAATAAATGAATCCACAGTAATACTAGTGTTCTAATATATATAGTGATACCTTTGACAGATTTCTTCGAATAGTTTGTACAGGTTGTTGACGATGTCTTGTAGATCAACATCTATCTCCATATCCCACTTACAATTAGAAAGTACAAGTAAATCTGCCTGGATAAATTCAAGAGTATTGTACAGCAACTTTCCATACTTCTTACACCTACAAAAATCAGCAATAAACATGTCTTAAAGTTATTTGACTAAAGTAATTAAGATTGCGACCTCGCTGTAGGGTATGAGCAAGCATATCAGTCTAGTAAAAAGCAGGGTTCGTTCAATCATTTACAGGTTTCATTGTATTAAAATAGTTTAAAAGATGCTCAAAGTCCCCTAATCCATGCAAGATAATGAAAGGTAATTAACTTCACATATACAAAAATTCTTAGAAAGATGAAGGGATATAAACCAAAAACAAATAAATTGGAGAAAACGTAGGCAATTTTTCCACATAAAAACTACACGATTGAAAATAGGCTCAAATTTATTAAAAATATTTTTTCATGGTGTAACTTAATAAAAAAAAGTGAATTCTTCAAAATTAATTAAAAATTGTGTCTAGTGGCTGACTCTGCAACGTATTTAGTTTTATAAATGAAAACATCAGATTGCTTGTATTTTTTTTTTACTACATACATTAATAGTATAATTGAAACTGATCATATTTACCTATCTTCCATTTCTTTAAGTGGGTAGTCAGTCTCCACTAATGCTACATATTTAGACTTTGATTGTTTCTTCCATTTAGTTATCACTTCTAAAAATGTTTTCCTTAATTCTGTTCCTCTTTTAAGGAAATCTCTTAATGCATCCTTGATGGCCTAAAAAAAAATCATACCACTTATCAATAATGGTTTCACACATTTATGCAGATTAAACTTTTGTTGTCCATGAATACCAGGGGGGGCCTCGGTGGCCGAGTGGTCTAAGTAGTTACTACTGTAATCACTAGCCAGTCAACACTGAGGTTGTGAGTTCGAATCCCGCTCGTGCGGGTGCACTCGACTCCAATCTTAATTGACTAGGATTGTCAGTTTTCCTATCGAAGGTCGGTGGTTTTCTCCGGGCACTCCGGCTTCCTCCACCAATAAAAACTGGCCGCCACGAAATAGCCCAAAAGCGGTGCTTAAAAGTGGCGTTAAAACACCAAAAATCTAAATCAAAATCAAATCCATGAATACCAGAAGCAATACAGGAAATACTCAAATATTTTATATGGTTAAAATTCAAATTTCAACAATGTTGTGCCTTCAACATGTTCAAATCTGACCTAGGACTATGCGGGGTTTTGCGGAGACTTTGTGACCTGACGTATCATTAAAAAGGACCTTGGTGAAACAGAAATGTGCCTAAAAGGATTATGTAAAACAAACTCTAAATCATCAACATAACTTCCTCTCACTTTCCTATAATCATATAGCATTACAAAAAGTTCAGATTTTGGTGATACCACACACAAAATGTCAGGACATGATTTTATAACAGAACAAGAAATTTTGTAAATATGAATGAAACCACATGGTAAAAAACAAGTTGACCAGTGAGCTACTACTCACTAATGAGACACCCACTATAAGTATCTTATACAAAGGAAGTTGAAGAAAACATCACATATTATAGCATATAAATATAAAAAAAAGAAGATGTGGTATGATTGCCAATGAGACAACTCTCCACAGGAGACCAATGGCAGTTTACAACTACAGGTCACTGTATAGCATTCATCAATGAGCAAAACCCATACTGCATAGTCAGCTATAAAAGGCCCCGAAATGACAATTCAAAAGAGGTGCCAAAACCTCCCCTAACCTGAGACAGTGTCGTAACAGTACAACATAAGAACAAACTATAAAAATCAGTTGAAAAAGGCTTAACTCATCAGATTGATACAAAGCAGAACACATCCCACAAAAACACAGACCAGATGTTGCAGGGTATTTATACATCCTCACAGCAAAAAAGACAAATAGTACTCCCAGTTACTGACAGCTAGTTCAAAGCCAATAACAACTAATAAAAAAATCATGCATCTAAGACTAAAATATCAATCAGTACACATCAAACATCCAATGGATTTAGTGTAAAGACGTCAAACAGTCAGAGAAACCCATGACCTTGCTCAATGCCAAAATAAAGGTATCGACAGATTGTAGAGCTATGAATGTGTATATGTATATAAACATAATATTTAGTTGATTTTAATTTACTGATAACAAAATCAATATTTATAACAATAAACAATATGCAAAGATCTAATTACAGTGTTGAATTGGTAACCTTTTAGAATAAGTTTATTTAGAGCTATTTTCCTAATGCTTGTAGTTTAAAGGTTTGGTTGGCTTGATTGCTTTGTTTGTATAAATGTTTGCTCAAGCATTGTAATTAAGATTGACATCTGCAATCAATAGATAGGCGGGGCTTCAGCTTGTATACATTATACTCTGCATTATACTTAACATCCAATAACATTTAAGTATAATGTATACAACCTGAAGCCCCGCCTATCTATTGATTTCAGATGTCAATCTCAATTACAATGCTTGAGCAAACATTAATACAATCAAATCAAGCAAGCCAACCAAACCTTTAAACTACAAGCATTAGGAAAATAGCTCTAAAGGATTGATAAATTTACTTGGAAGAATATCTAAATTTTGCGGGCTCAATAAACAAAATATCTGTAAAAATAAGGATGTGCTATCCTGTTTGATGATGATGATGATTGGCTGCTTAAAGTCCAGCAGCAAATAAATATGCATATTCAGGATGAGAGCATGTTAATGTAATATGAATATTTACCCAGCTTTGTACTAGACTAGCATGCTGAGCCGGGTTTTAACGTGTTAGTTCACAAGGTAACACTCCACAGGAAGACATTTCACCTTACCCAGACACATTATTCTGACTCCTAACCAACCAGTCTTTCGTTCAGTGTATGTTTACCCATTTTTGTTTATATGTCTTTTTGATAGAGTTAAGCCATTTCAATTGATATTTTATAGTGTGTCTTTTTATGTTGTAATGTTACACTACTGTTTCAGTTTAGGGTGAAGGTTGGCGCCTGTTAAAACATTTAAACTTGCTGCATTTGTATGCAACTGTCATAAGTCAGGAGCCTGTTGTTCAGTGGTTGTCGTTTGATGATGTGGTTCATAAGTGTTTCTGGTTTTTTAAATAGATTAGACCGTTGGTTTTCCTGTTTGAATTGTTTTACACTAGTCATTTTGGGGCCCTTTATAGCTTGCTGTTTGGTGTGAGTCAAGGCTCCGTGTTGAAGGCCGTACTTTTACACATAATTGTTTACTTTTTAAACATTGTGACTTGGATGGAGAGTTGTCTCATTGGCACTCATACCACATCTTCTTAATTATATTTGCTCTTACTCCTTAATGCCACATGCTTAGCAGAGAAGCAGAAAATATCAATTCTGGAGTCTTTGGTTTGACCCGGCCAGGGTTCTAACCCATGACCTCCCGCACTCGAGATGAACACACTACCACCGAGGCAGTCTTATCCCATTTGAAATAAGTTTTCTTCAGGTACAGCCAAACTTCCAAACCAAATCTTTGTATCTATGGAAGAATTTAGTAAATGTTTTAAGTAATTTGTGGTAACGAAATCCCAGTTATCAATGTTAAAACTTACATGTTTAGCCCTGTCTGTTTCATGAGCAATCTCAACTAATCTCCTCTGTATCACAATCGTATCATTATTTAACTTCTCCAACACATTACCAGAATTGACACCATTCTTTCGTCTTGATGTGTCTGACATGTTCTGTGCTTCTATTAAATTAAAAAAAACTAACATAACTTGTCACACAGTGTAATAAACAAAAATCATGATTCCTAAATATGTTTTCAATTTCAAAACTGGAAATTCAACATTTTCGTTTTTTTTATTAACCAAAATCTTTTTCCAGCTTTGTAAAAGTATTCATTCTATAATCTTCTATAATCACCTTGTATTTTGGAATACATCCTCTTTGAAATGTTAAGCAATCATTAATCAATATTTGAAATGAAAAAATATCAAGGAAGTCATGTTATAGCATTGAAAGAAATGTGTCTAAGATGAATAACATTCCACAAGATCCATATATCAAATAAAATTTAAATGGAGTGGAACATCTTGCTTCAATTACAAGAATGTTCGTCTCGTGAAAAAAACATGACTCCTCCCAAAAGATGAATTGTTTGGGCCTAAATTAGAAGAAATACAATGTGACCAAAGGACAACATGCTCGTTGGCATTATCAATGTTTTCTTTTCAGTGAACCATGAAATCTGGGTTCAAACCATTATTCGGCATCTATCTTTAAATATGCAAATCATTAAACCATGTGTACTAATTTTCAAATTGATGTGACAACAGCTTCATGGTAAACTACCTTTCAACATAACTGAAACTTCATTAGTGAACCATGAAATCTAGGTAAAAGACCCATTTTGCTATATAGTTTTTAAAAATAAGTTCATATTCTAATGAACAAATATGATATTTGCTCATTTTGAAGGATGTGCAGTTACTTATTGCTGCTAACATTTACATTTTTTGGTCCCTAGTGGATAGTTGTCTCATAGGTAATCATAGCACGTCTTATTTTTATACTGCATACAAAGTTTCAAGTTGATGACCACAACTTCATTGCAAACTACATTAAAACTTTAACCTGATAAAATATGGATGGACAGACAAACAGACAGACTGGATAACATTTTGCCCTCTACTTTTGTAGGCAGGGCATAAACAATGAATTCAGTAACTAGAAACTCCTAAGTTGGTATCAAAGCATTATGTTTCCTTCATATTAGTACCATTAATGTTAAAATATGTTCTTTAGTGTAATTTTGTTTAATATATAGTAAGTGTTGGTTCTCCGAAAACAGTGATATTATTAGATACCAAAAAAAAAACTGATTAAAGCTTAACATACCTTCAGGATGATTGTGGTTAATATCAGTTTTAATTGGTTTAGTGATTTAAAAAAAGATAATTAGAATTGAAGTGAAAGACATTTTCTGTCTACTAGGAATTGGTCAATCAAATGAAGTTATATTCAATATTGAATTATAACAAATGTATCTTTAAACAACTAAAGAATGAAACAGCAATGAAAAACAAATAAACTGTTTCATTCTGATTTCTTATGAATTAAAAGTCTGGCAGATTTAATATGCTTTGCAGGTATGGTGACCTGTTGACCCTGATCAGTGACTTATACCCTGTCTATGCAAAGGCAAGAAAACAGAAACTGCCTTAAAAATTTGGTGCTCAAATACATGTAATAAAAAGAGCTAACATTGGTGAATTAGGGCAGACCAGCAAAATAATCAAATGCAAATATACCCTGTGTGTCTTCTTTTTTCTTGTCAAGTTCTTTAACCTTCCGTTTTTCTTCTTCCAACAAAGAATTAAAGTTTTTTACTTTTTTTTCAAGGCTCTGTAAATATATTCAAATATATGTGAAAATAAATTTATAAGATATAAACTAATAAAACTAGTACATGTAATATACTTATTTGAATTTTTGTATTATTTTTCATTATTTTCTAAATGCACCAAGTCAATATAGCCAACACTCTCTGTTAGGTTAGTACAAAAATTCAACAGAAATACATTTAAAGTAATGGTAATGCTTATAAAAATATAGAACAAACTTGTAATTCTTCTATGAATATTCCTACTATTGGCAGTAAAATTTTTATCAATTTTCATCCTTGATGTACCTTTGACATGCCTGAAAAGGTTTAAGTTCAAAGAAAAGCTATCTTACTGTGTATACATGTAACTGTCATTAAAAGTATGAAAAAGTTCAGTTATTACCCGTTCAAATGTTTCAGATTCTTCCAAGAGTTTTATAGTTCGAGAAATATTTTCTTTTTTGAGCTCTTCTTCATTTGGCTGGAAAAAAATGATGCATAATTGATTATAATCAAGACTTACACAGAAATTGAAGCTAGAGAGTCAAGTTACTTTATATATGAGGACTATTCCCAGAAAAAAATGTATCATAATAATAATGTAAAGCCTGAATCTTGTTGGAGGGGTCCACATACCTTAAAATGACTGTTTAAAGATCTTATCATGAAAACTTGTGTGATTAATTAACAGTGAAAAGACCACACCAAATCAATGTCTTATTTGTAGGAATCAATATTCCAAATTTCCAATTTCATTTCTGAAATAAATGGGGAATGTGTCCCCATGGACACAGATACATACAACGTTATAATGGGACATAACACAAGAACAGTAAAAGTGACGCTACCTAAATTTGTACTTGATCTGAGTTTCCTGGTAATAAGCATTGTGTATAAGTTTTATAACATTTGGTTGAGGCAAACTAAAATAAGAGAACAGAAATGAAAAATTCACCAATTTTTCCATTTGTAAAGGGGCATAACTCTAGAGCAGTAGACGTGATGCAACCGAAATTCAAACTCGATCTGTGTTTTGTGGTAATAGCATAGTGTATATTAGTTTCATAACATTTGGTTGAGGCAAACTAAAGTTAGAGAATGGAAACCGAAAATTCAGCAATTTTTCCATTTGTAAAGAGACATAACTCTAGAACGGTTGAAGTGAGGCAACTGAAAATCAAACTTGATCTGTGTTTTGTGGTAATAAACTATATGTATAAGTTTCATAACATTTGGTAGAGGCAAACTAAAGTTAGAGAACGGAAACCAACTTTGGGATATATACGGACGTACAGACGGACAAGGGTAAAACTTAATGCCCACTCCGCTACGGCGTTTTCAGTGGGAGGGTCGATTGTTTGCTGATATAATATTCATTTTACACTGGTTTTTAGTATGGTTTATTTATTTAGCGTGAAAATTATTTTCACCTTTTGTACATTACTATTTCTTGCAAAGTTCTGCATTTTGTAAGACAAAATATTTATTTTCATTATGTTTTGGACAAAATGTTTTTTACAGTTTGTTCCAGTCCAGACTATTCATTTCAAAAATCACCCCATGGACACTTTGCAGTGTTCCAGCTTGAATCTCAGGGCAGAAGGGTGCTAGTTGTCTGAAAGGGCACTTTAGCGTTATAACCCTGATTTTAAGGGCAATGTTGGACAGTGTATAAATTACCTTGAATATTGCTAGGCTCAGCTGTCGAACATTAGTTGTATTTAAACCATATTCAGAAATTAATGTGTTCTTGATGTTGGTTCCCATAAGAATTTTCTTTTATCAAATTATCATACCATGAAGCAAAGCATATCATTTTGATGTTAATCTAAACAAACTTGTACATTTGATAAGGAAAATAATCATCAGAAATTTCAATGTTTTATAACTTATACCAGTCTATAAAAATAAACAAGTAGTTTTGAAAGATGGAGTTATACATGCAAAATTGAATGTTTAATGTAATTAAATTATCTACATTTAAATTACTTGTTCAAACATATAGTATATATGTTATTGAGAGTTATTTATTATCATTTGAATTGTTACAAAAAAGTATTTTTAAGTGCACACCAAAGTGCTCCTCGGTAAGGAGTTTTATAAATATAACAGGTGAGACAGGAGATGATCATATTATATTGATGCAATAATATATTGCAGAAGGTATAAACAGTTACTTTTTTCTCCATCATTGTTAAAAATAAATTTGTTGAGTGCTCCTATGTCAGGAGGATTATAAAATACAAGAAGTAAAACAGGAAGTAAATCTTGTTATGTTCAAAGTACAAATTTCTTTGGTTCTTCTCCAAAAACTTTATAAATCACTTTCAGATAACTTTAAAAATAATCCAAAAGAATATTGGAATGTTCTAAAGGCAATAAAAAAGAAACCAAATATTGAAGAAGATATTCCTGAAATTTTAATGAATGAAAATAAAATCATAAAACATTTTCAGGATCAGGGTACCCCAACATCATATGACAAACCCTTTGTAAATAAACTGGAACGTGAATTAAACATTCTAGAGGATAATATTGAATTGAATATGGAAACTGATGCACCAATTACATTTGCTGAGGTAAAACTGGTCATTTCAAACCTTAAAGTAAACAAATCAGCAGGTCCAGATAGAATTGTGAATGAAATACTCAAACATTCACAACCTGTGATAATTAATTCTATTGTAAAAGTTTTTAATTTGATTTTAAAGACAGGTAATTATCCAGATTCATGGAAATTATCTTTCATGATCCCTTTACATAAAAAAGGTGACAAGTTAGACCCTAATAATTATAGAGGAATTTCTCTTATAAGTAATCTACCAAAACTTTTTAATGCCATATTGAATAATAGGCTAATCAAGATTGTTGACAAACAATTAAGTGATTGTCAGTTTGGTTTCAGAGAAAATCACAGAACAGCTGATAGCATCTTTATATTGAAGTCCTTGATTAATAAATATCTACATAAAGAGAAAAAAAAGATTTATGCCTGCTTTATAGATCTGAAAAAGGCTTTTGATTCAGTATGGAGAACTGCTTTACTTTATAAATTATGCAAAATGGGAGTTGGCAGGTCTTTTTACAGAGTTATAAAACAACAATACTTAAATACTAAATCATCTTTCAAATACAAAGATTATGTATCAGAATTTTTTAATATTGCTAGAGGGGTTAAACAAGGAGACACCCTCAGCCCAACTTTATTTAATGTCTTCATAAATGATATTGTAAAAAATTTTGAGGGAAATGATTCAAGTCCCCTTAAGCTTATAAATAGTAAGGTGGGATGCCTCTTTTTGCAGATGATCTTTTGATCCTGTCAGAATCGAAAGAGGGTCTTCAAAACAGTTTAAATAATGTTAAATTATATTGCAACAAATGGCAACGCTCTTTAAATACAAACAAAACAAAATCCATGATTTTCAGTCAGTCCAAACAAAATGGTGAAACATCACATATTTACTATGAGAATGAAGCCATAGAGAGCGTATCAGAATATTCATTTTTGGGAATGTTGATAAAATGTAATGGAAATTTATCACAAAGTACCTTAGAGCTGACAAAAAAGGCAAAAAAAGTATTTTTTGCAATAAAATCCTATACTAAATCATTGAATAATCTACCTATAAAAGTAGCAAATAACCTTTTTGATTCTTTAGTAAAACCAATTATGACCTATAATTCAGAAGTAACATATTTGGATACATATATTTCTTTTCATAGAGCCAAAAACAGAGCCTTATCTTCAGGAAAACAAATTAATCAACTTGATTTTACAGACAAAACCCCTATTGAAAATATGCATCTTAAATTTTGTAAATCTACTCTAGGAATAAGAAAAAATGCATCCAATTTAGGGGCAAGAGTTGAATTAGGAAGATTGCCTATAGAATGTTTTATTAAAACACAAACCCTTTTATATTTAGCTAGACTATATAATAATAATATTAATCCATTGATAAAGGAAGCTTTTTCTCTAGCACAGTCTCTAGATTTGACTGGAACTTATTCATGGTATACATATGCAAAGAATATTGTTGAAGAGACTAATATTGACCTTAATATTTTTTCTAATTGTAAGGACATAAAAGATGTAAATAAAATAAAAAACGATATAAAGTTAAAAATGAAAAATAGATATGAAGATTTAATTGAAACTAAATTTGAAAACATTGATGATAAAAGTAAATTTTATCTATATAAAAAACTTAAAAAGGATCGCAAACTAGAATCTTATCTAAATATATCTAATTTTCAGATAAGGAGATTGATCACTAAATTTAGACTAAGTGATCACTCCCTCTTAATTGAAAAGGGGAGATATTTTAAAATCCCAAGAGAGGAACGACTTTGTCATAAATGTAAAATACTAGAGGATGAGAAACATTTTTTACTCTATTGTGATTATAATAAAACACTAAGAAATGCCTTTTTTGAACACATATGTACTGAAAATAATAACTTTAATAATTTAAATGAAGAAGAAAAAATTCATTATTTACTAAATCCATCAACGCCTTTACAAACAAATAAGTTAGGATCCTTCTTGAAAAAGTCATTAGAACTGAGGGCAGGGGACTCTTAACAACTTGTTTGTTTTTATAAATTTTGATGCTGTTTTTATTGTGTTTGTTTGATATGTATGTATATATGTTTATTGTGTTAATACATGTTGGTCACAAACTGTAAAGTTTATAAGACAATAAAATATTTGATTTGATTTGATTTATTTAAATTTCATACTCACGGTTATGAAACAAAACATTTTTTACCAATTAAGTCAAAACTATGTATACATGCCTTTAAAATTGTTTAAGATTTTATTTTTTATGTTATGCCTACTGAAATAAATTTTTTCAGGTGTACATGCTGTACATAAACATTACAAATGGATAACATGTGGACATTTCATTCTGTATTAAATATCTAGTATTTGTTCAATTATCTTAAATCCACTAATTAGCAGTAAACAATCATTAACAAAGGTGATAAAACTGCCAAAGCATTAGGTATTTAACTTTATCCCATTGTCAGTTAATTAGTGTTACACAATCAGGTAACAATTTACCGGAAACGCCGGTAGGCATGAAATTTGGAAATTTTATTTTTTTGAAAAGGCAGAGGGGTGCATTCTTTTACTTTGGAGGGCAGAAGGGCGGGGGTAAGGGCATCAAGGGCGGGCCGCCCTTCTATTTAGGGCAGGCGGGAACACTGCTTTGGTATTCTTTTGATTTGCCATAAAACCCTCGCCAAAGTAGGCCGAATTGAGTTTAGCTCAATGTGAACACAGCCTTAGATTGTGGTCTTTGTTTATGTGTGTATGTTAATGAATGAGGAAAATTTAGTTTCTTTCTTCACATCATCCTGAAAATGCATGAATTATTTGTAACTGGGCGTTAAGCAACCAACAATCAATCAATCAATCATTTTCAAAATCCGTTTTTCTCCCTATTGTTACATTGTTTGAGCTTGCGTAATCGTGACATTATTAAAACTTTCTCTAAAAGTTTTCTTATGTTATGTCCCATTAAAAGTTCTCTAAATCAATACGGAAACGACTATTCATCTTCATGGGACAAGCCATTTTTTATTACATTAATAAAAAATTTGTAAGGGTTCCTGGGAACCCAGTGTCTCGCCTACTTTTGCTGTAAGTCGCAGGCTCAACAAAAATGGGGAAAAAATTATTAAAAATTTTCTTCTAGATACTATCTTTTGATTGTAAGAAGCTTCTATCCATTAGTTTGGTAAAAATCCAGGATGTTTTAAGAATCTAATAAATGTTTTAAAAACTTCAACTGCAGACTGTATGTAATGTTAACTGGAAGAAAAACTAAGTCCATTTATAAGTAATATACAGAAAAACAGGAAATAAATTTTTACAAAATTTCCTTCTAGATACTAGCTTTTGATCATAAACAAGCTTCTGTCCAAGTTTGGTACAAATCCAGGATAGTTTAAGAAAGTTATTAAAATTTTAAAATCTTTAACCACAGAGTGAATATTTGTGGCCGCTGCCGTCGCTGACGACAGAATGTAGGATTGCTATGTCTCACCTTTGGCGACAAAAGTCGAAGGCTCGACAAAAAACAACCAATTGTTTTCATTTACATAAGGAACATTTTTAAAACTCCATTTTGAAACCCCTGCTCTTCTTCCCTCATGAAACAAATATGTTTTTTCTTAAAAAAAAAATATTTAAACAATTTATCTACCCCCTTTTCCTAAAATAAAATATTTATAAAATGCTCCGCTGGGGCGCAGCTTGATAAGACCGCAGAGGTCGAACCCTGAACAGTTGGGGCAAGTACGGACACAACATTCAAGCTTGATACAGCACTGAATTTGGATTGTAATTAAATATTTGACACAGCATAGGTTTCTGACACAGAATGAAAGTGGTCTAAGAACTTAAAATTTTTTAATTTACCTATTCAAACCATATCATTATTATTTGCTTTTATATATAAATCAGAAATAACCAATTTAAAATGGAAAATTTTAAAGAAAAAAAAAGGAAAACAAATCCCCCCCAAATTTTTTGAACCCCCTTATGATTCATCATCCCCAAACTCAATCCCAGCCTTCCCTTTGTGATATGGTACTTTGCAGTACAATTTCAGAGAGATCCATACACTTGAACACAAGTTATTGTCCTGAAACTAGAAAAATGCTTGTTTTTTTGCCCTTTTATGGCCTCTAATTCCTAAAATTTAAAGGGAATTACCCCCAAAATCAATCCCAGCCTTCCCTTTGTGGTATGGTACCTTGCAGTACAATTTCATAAAGATCCATACACCTGAACACAAGTTATTGTCTGGAAACTAGAAAAATGCTTATTTTTGGCCCCTTTTTGGCCCCTTATACCTAAACATTTTGGGCAATTACCCCCAAACTCAATTCCAGCTTTCCCTTTGTGATATGAAACCTTGTAGTACAATTTCATAAAGATCCATACACTTACACACAAGTTATTGTCATGAAACTATAAAAATGCTTGTTTTTTGCCCCTTTTTGGCCCCTAATTCCTAAAATTTGGAGACAATTACCCCCAAAATCAATCCCAGCATTCCCTTTGTGATATGGAACCTTGCGATACAATGTCAGAGAGATCCATACACTTACACACAAGTTATTGTCATGAAACTAGAAAAATGCTGGTTTTTTGCCCCTTTTTGGCCCCTAATTCCTAAAATTTTGAGGCAATTACCCCCAAAATCAATCCAAGCATTCTTTTTGTGATATGGGACCTTGTGGTACAATTTCAGAGAGATCCATACACTAACACACAAGTTATGTCTGGAAGTTACAAAAATGCTTATTTTTGGCCCCTAATTCCTTAACTGTTGGTACCATAACCCCCAAAATCTATCCCAACCTTACTTTTGTGGTATTGAACCTTATGGTAAAATTGCATAGAGATCCATTCACTTAAACTAAAGATAGAGTGTGAAAACTAATGTGTCTTCGGACGACGACAACGGACGCCAACGCCAATGTCATACCAATATACGACCACAAAAATTTTTTTGCGGTCGTATAAAAAACATTTACATGATCCATTTGCATTTCACCAAAAAAATAACATTCATAACCAATAATATTACCTTTGTATAATGATCAATCAACACCTCTTCCTCCTTCAAACATGTGACTAAAGTTTCAATAAATCGGTATGGCTCATTCTCATACTTTTTCTAAAATTAAATTAAATCAAACTTGATATATATACAGAATGTATTTTCAGCCTTGTATCACCATCACTGCTGGTGATCCGATGGATAAAATCTGTTGTAGAGTCGTCACTGGTTCAGACGTACTTATAATATAATTATTTCTGTGACTGCATCTTACATTAATTTGTAGGATCCTTTACAATAGATAATTCAGCTGATCTGTAACAATTCCATCTTCATGCCTTATATATCATGTACTGTGTTACGACGTTAGATTATAAACTGACGAGGACAGGTAACACCCGGCAACCGAAAGCTTTATTATTATAGAGCCTAAGTGGTCAAGTGGTCTAGCGCGTCGGGCATAGTGCAAGGCTATTTGGTGCCACGATATCTCAGTAGCATGAGTTCGAATCCCATCTAGGGAAGAACAAAAAACAAAAACAAAAAAATTTGCTTCCGCAAATTTACAGATCTAAATTTGTTGGGCTGTTGTTTAGACAAATTATATATATATATATATATATACGGTAAAAATTTCAATAAAAAAAGTACAAATATATAAGAAAATAGAAGATAATAGAAAAAAAAGAAGAAAATGCATATATATCTTTGTATTAAAAATCGTTCACATTGTTCCTACCAGTTTCACACTTCACAGAAGATATATGTTTACTATGAATATCTTCTGTGAATATTCCGTACATATATTCTTGTAGCTATTTTGATTGGGGTCAGGATTGGCAACTGTAATTCTTTAATATTAGAAAAACACTGAGAACATTTAAATTAACACCGTTTAAAATGAGCAGAAATTCAGTGAAATGTTTTTCGTCATTAGGTTCACCACTACAATCACCAAATGATTACAAGTTCACATCTCTAAAAGGTTTGAATTAATCGAACCAAAAAAAACACAGCCATACCTTTCAACCTCTGATGAAATAGTTTCTATTGTATCAGATAATCATGATGTATAGCTGTAGATTTTTTTTCATCCTTTTATCAATTTTTTGTTAATAAACTATAAAGCCACTGTTTAACTGGTAGATTTATATTCAGTATATTTTTTTTGATATTTCAAAATTCAATAACCTAATGGTTGAAATGCATCTTGAAGAAAAAAAATACTTTACCTTTAATTCATCTCTAGTGACTATATATTGCATTTTTTCAGAGACCATACTAAGTCCTCCTTCACATGTTTGAATTTTATCATCAAAATATTTGACAACTTCATTCAGAAGTTCCTCTGCATATTTCTGGATCACTTCAATTTGACCATCTACTTGGTATTTTACAACATCTTGCCTAAAAAATATATAATCTCATCAGACTAATTAAAAATAACTGTATAAACTTGAGAGTTGATTACTGGTATTTCATTCCCAGTTCCTATAATAGAATGTTCATGAAAAGATTCATTGAAAATAAATTTGGCTTTGTGAAGCCATAGAATTCAAACAAATTTCTTTGTTTGAGGACTGTATTCTTTTTGATTGCAAAGATACTTTCGATAAATAAAAGAATTGTGAAATAATAGTACAGCCAACAGATATTTCTAGAACATTTAAAAATAAAAATGGTAGAGGGATAAGGGAACCACTGGATAAATGTTGAATATAAATATGATTGAAAAGGGTCATAAGAAGTGAAAAATAATTGGGTTTCAAAGCAACCTGAATCTACCATCCAGAAAAAAAGTTAATGATCAAAATTTTAAACAAGAGGCTGTCGAGTGACAGCAAACCGGATTTTCCTGCAGAGGTCGAACCCTGAACAGTTGAGCAAGTATGGACACAACATTTCAGCTTAAAACAGCTCTGAATTTGGATTGTGATTGAATATTTAAAATAGATTATTATCTAATTAATAATGAAAATGATATTTGCAAATCTGAACCACAAACAGGATCATGTAAAAATTAAACATTCACACACATAACAAAAATAAAATACCACATAACAACTGTGACATCTACCTTCATAACACACATGACTTAAAAAAAATAGTTATACAGAAATTTTGATGTTATCATGTGTTCATGGAATAAGTTTGAGTTATTTCTCTTTGAACAGAAATATGGTTTAACATAGTACTCTAACATTAGATATGATTAATAGTTCTCTAAAATTAGATATGATGTAAAACAATGTATATCTATTTTCAAATTATATTCAATTATAATTAATAGTTCCAAATATTTTTTCTTTCATTTATCACAAACTAATACAGATCTGCAACTTATCTATGATCAATGTCAACAACTTTAAATGTAATGAAATATATTCTATAATAAAAATAGATTATTATCTATTCTAACATTTCGTTTTTCATACGCTTTGAGTACACACCCGTGGTAAAATATGAATATATTGTTTGGGCTGTTCCGATCGTACTCCCAGGTCATATGCTTTTTTATGAATGAGCTACCCTGTGTCATACAACAATGACATAAGAATATGAGGATTTTACGGGAAAATACATACTTGTGAAACCGAAAATCATCACAACAAGGAAACGTAAACAAACGATGCTAATATGTGTTATAATCCAATTTTTTTATACATATTAGACACATAAATAAAACTCTTATTTAAATTCATCCACACCTATTTAAATACATTATTGTAAATAGTTTAAGCATGTCACTAATTCAGTTTGCTCTGTTCTTTTACATCAATTGAATAGTGCTTTTGTTTATGGGAACGGCAAATATTTGCCTTCACCTAGAGCGCTTCGATCCAAAAGAATTGCCGTATTTGTCCTATTAGAATCGAAATAATTCATGGGGGCTTCAATATATCGTGATTTTACCATGGGTTGTCCCTTTATGCCGATATTTTACCCCTCGCTTTCGCTCAGGGCAAAAATATTTAGTATAAAGTGCCAACCCATGGTAAAATCACGATATATTCAAGCCCCCATGAATTATTTCTTAAATTAAAGGAGATCACTTCCTAAAAAAAATCAAAGCACTGTAAGCGCTGTAGGCAGTTAACCAAAAACCAAGGCAAACGTAATTATGAAAACTGTGGCAGTGTCGCTTCAATTTTTTTTTTTAAGATTTGAAAGAACAAACATTAAACATTCGTATATTGTACATTTATGTTCATTAAATGAATTGATTATTAAGGCAAATTAATTAATATTTCATCAAGGTTTTCAAAAGCAACTCATATATCAATGTAAATGACCCCCATCTTCATCCCCATATGCATGATGTTATTCCATACCAAGTTTGGAATAAAATGACAGGTGATTATAAAACAGTTGGTTAAACATTCTCGGGCTTTACACTGCTTGAAAGATTTATATGTTTTCTTTAAAATGAGCCATAAATGAAAATTATTATAGGCCCAGAAATAATTTAATAAATTATTAAAGTAAATTTAATTAACCTAGGCTCATTTTTTGCATCAATAAAATGTTATAATAAACAAGAAATAATTGCAACAGGATGCCTTTACGAAGTCTCCCAAACAAAGCCCCCATAATTCGTCATTCCGATGGTCTCCTGACATTGGGCAAAGTCCAGTTCATATTGGTTTGGTCTAGTAAAGTGATATGCATATGTGACACCTAGGAGATTGACCCTGTATGTCATTCAAATCTTTTTGAAATGATGAACAGGAATAAATATGGTTTAGGTGTGGGTATCTCGACCGTTTACAAGTTCTCAAACAGGAGGGGTGGGGTGACCCCAGGGACTCCCCCTATATTTCATTTGATTTGTTATATTGTCCCATACATGAATACATATGGTTTAGGGGTGGGGATCTCGACCATTTCCAAGTTCTCAAACAGGAGGGGGTGGGGTGACCCCAGGGACTCCCCAAATATTTCATTTGATTTGTTATATTGTCCCATACATGAATATATATGGTTTAGGGGTCCGGATCTTGACTGTTTACAAGTTCTCAAACAAGAGGGGGTGGGGTGTCCACATGGACTCCCCCTATATTTCATTTGATTTGTTTTATTGTCCCATACACGACAAGAAATAATTGTAACAGGATGCTGTTACGAAGTCTCCCAAACAAAGCTCCAATAATTCGTCATTCCCATGGTCGCCTGACATTGGGCAAAGTCCAGTACAAATTGGATTGTGATATGCATAAGTGACGCCTATGGATTGACCATGTATGTCATTCAAATCTTCTTAAAATGACGAACAGAAATATATATGGTTTAGGGGTGGTGATCTCGACCGTTTACAAGATAAAAGCACATTCTCAAATTGAAGAGGGGTGGGGTAAGAATATAAAGGGGGGGGGGGGGGGGGGGGGGGGTGATCCCCAGGGGACTCGCCCTTTATTTCATATGATTTGTTTTTTTGTCCCATACAAGAATATATATGGTTTAGGGGTGGGGATCTCGACCGTTAACCAGTTCTTAAACAGAAGGGGGTGGGGGTGACCCCAGGGGACTCGCCATTTATTTCATTTGATATGTTTTATTGTCCCATACAAGAATATATATGGTTGAGGGGTGGGGATCTTGACCGTTTACAAGTTTTCAAAAAGAAGGGGGGTGGTGGTGACCCCAGGGGACTTCCCCTAAATTTCATTTGATTTGTTTTATTGTCCCATACAAGAATATATATGGTTTAGGGGTGGGGATCTCGACCGTTTACAAATTTTCAAAAAGAAGAGGGTGGGGTTACCCCCCGTGGACTTCCCTTATATTTCATTTGATTTGTTTTATTGTCCCATACAAGAATATATATGGTTTAGGGGTGGGGATCTCAACCGTTTACAAGTTCTCAAACAGGAGGGGGTTGGGGTGACCCCAAGGAACTCACCTTTTATTTCATTTGATTTGTTTTATTGTCCCATACAAGAATATCTATGGTTTTGGGATGGGGATCTCGACCGTTTACAAGTTCTCAAAAAGAAGGGGGTGGGGTGACCCCAGGGGACTCGCCTTTTATTTCATTTGATTTGTTTTATTGTCCCATATAAGAATATATATGGTTTAGGGGTGGGGATCTCAACCGTTTACAAGTTCTCAAACTTGAGGGGGTTGGGGTGACCCCAGGGAACTCACCTTATATTTCAATTGATTTGTTTTATTGTCCCATACAAGAATATCTATGGTTTTGGGGTGGGGATCTCGACCGTTTACAAGTTCTCAAAAAGAAGGGGGTGGGGGTGACCCCAGGGGACTTCCCCTATATTTCATTTGATTTGTTTTATTGTCCCATACAAGAATATATATGGTTTAGGGGTGGGGATCTCGACCGTTAACAAGTTTTCAAAAAGAAGGAGGATGGGGTTACCCCCATGGACTTCCCTTATATTTCATTTGATTTGTTTTATTGTCCCATACAAGAATATATATGGTTTCGGGGTGGGGATCTTGACCGTTTACAAGTTATCAAAAAGAAAGGGGTGGGGGTTACCCCCATGGACTTCCCCTATACTAGTATTTCATTTGATTTGTTTTATTGTCCCATACAAGAATATCTATGGTTTAGGGGTGGGGATCTCGACCGTTTACAAGATAATAGCACATTCTCAAATTGAAGGGGGTTGGGGGACGGGGGGTGACCCCAGGCACTCACCCTATATTTCATCTGATTTGTTTTGTTGTTCTGTGATCATTTCTAAAGACTGTGTGTGTCTATCACTTACAATTTTCAAGTTAAAGTCATTTGAAAATTTTAAAAGATAAAATCTCAAAGGTTTCTATGGTAAACCCCTCCCTTCTTTATGCCCCTTAAAATACCCCTTTAGAGACCCCAATGCACAAACGATTGGTTGATGGCTCCCCTAGACATGTAAATCTAACATTTTTAGAAACCCTAAGTAAATCTGACAAGGGGTTTTGGAGAACCGCTGCGGACAAGTTCATCTTTAATGTGGCGGAAGAAGAAATAGAAAAAGAAAAAGAAAAAGAAGAAGAAGAATAATAAAAATAATAAGAACTGAGCAAAAACAATAAGTCTCCAAACTTTGTTTGGGAGACTTAAATATATATGGTTTAGGGGTGGGGATCTCGACCATTTCCAAGTTCTCAAACAGGAGGGGTGACCCGAGGAACTCCCAATATATTTCATTTGATTTGTTATATTGTCCCATACATGAATATATATGGTTTAGGGATTTGGATCTTGATTAACAAGTTCTCAAACAGGAGGGGGTGGGCGTCCCCAGGGACTCCCCCTATATTTCATTTGATTTGTTTTATTGTCCCATACATGAATGTATATGGTTTAGGGGTGGGGATCTCAACCATTTCCAAGTTCTCAAACAGGAGGGGTTTGGGTGACCCCAGGGACTCCCCATATATTTCATTTGATTTGTTATATTGACCCATACATGAATATATATGGTTTACGGGTGGGGATCTCGACCGTTTACAAGTTCTCAAACATACATACATGTATATGGTTTAGGGGTGGGGATCTCAACCATTTCCAAGTTCTCAAACAGGAGGGGTGGGGTGACCCCAGGGACTCCCCCAAATTATTTTCATTTGATTTGTTTTATTGTCCCATACAAGTATATATATTGTTTAGGGGTGGGGATCGCGACGGTTTACAAGATAAAAGTACATTTTCAAATTGAAGGGGGTTGGGATGACCCCCAGGGACTCACCCTATATTTTGGTTGATTTTTTTTTATTGTCCTGTTCTCATTACTGAAGACTGCATGAGTCTATCACTTACTGTTTTCGAGAAATAGTCATTTGAAAATTTAAAAAAATAAAATCCCATAGGATTCTATAGTAAACCCCTCCCTTCTTCATGCCCCTCGAAATACCCCTAAATAGACCCCAATGCACAAACAAAAGATTAATGGCTCCGCTAGACATGTTAGTCTAATATTTTATGAAACCCTAAGTAAATCTGACAAACGGTCAAAGTTGTCTTCTTAGACGGTTTGAGTGGATTCGGTCCGACTTGTCTCGGGGACGAGTTGTCCACATTACTTTAAACATCCCATCAACCTCGATTTCCGCATCTGTTTTATGACCTCGTTTCATTCATAAAATAACAACAACCTTATTTGGCAAGATAAGTTTAAAATAACCGCCCACTTATATAACTTTATTTCCTCTATCATAGAGATTTGTTGTACATGAACAATATTCCTGCGCATTTTGCCATTTGGGAAATATAAACGACTTGTAATTACCGATTTTCGGCGATGAAATATTTCATACAATTGTTCTTTGACATCGTAGCCAAATGCACAGGGGATAATAAACTACGTACTGATTTCTATTGAGCACTACTTCCTATGTGCAACTTCAAAAGTTTTGGGTAGTTCGACGATCATTTAAGGTTTTTCTGGTCATATTTTTTGTATTCCAGAAATAAAAGTATTAAAAAAATGTCCAATTAGTTATAAATAACATAATAGACAGCTAGATAATAATAATGGCACGTATTTCAGCATTTATTGGGTAGAACACAAATCTAGGGTGCTCGCATAAGGCAGCTTAACTGCCTAAAAAAAATATATATATATAGCATTCAGAAAAATTAGTTTATACAGAAAAATAAACAAACCTACCACAAAATTCTTCAAAAAATTTACCAAAGAAAAGAAAAAAAAATCCAAGTCATTTATCATTAATACAATGTCTTTTAAAAATCTTTTAAAAAATGAGTTATTTCCCTTTGTACAGAAATGGATTAATTCTTCAAAAATTGAATTCTTGGGAAAGGGGTATAACTGAACAACGAGAAAAGCTAAAATTGTGAAAATTGAACTTGACCTTCATTTAGTCACAGGACACAACGTATCTAAATTTGAAAAAAAATCTTCAAAGCGTTTTCATGAAGATGAACGGACACTGTTTGGCAGCCACTCGCCCGCCATACATCCCCAAATCAATAACCGATTTTTACTTTGAAAATCTGGTTAAAAATTGGTCATAAAGCATGGCATAACTTTCAGAGATAAATGTGACAGGGCTTAAAATAGTGTTCAATTTATGGTAATACTAATGTTGCAGCTTACTAAAGTTATCATGAAAACCATACTTCACCAAAACTATATTGGAAGTAAAGCTATATTTTGAAACTGTTCTATACAGACTATGAATTCAAAAATCTCTCTACTTATTTTAAGTTACAAAAGATAATGTATAAATACATACCATATATTATCACTAAATAGATCTTTACAATGGATTCTCACATACATCATTGTTGGATTATACAAGCCTTCCCATTGGGATCGAAACTCTTTGTTTTTACAAAGTCCATACACTAAGTCTAACTGACTTGGTTTAGCCATGGTTATCTGAAAGTCATATGATCTAGTAGTAAGCAAAAGTAAGTAAATCTATCAGTCATGTACATGTTATGTGCATATAAAAAATTGAGGAGAAAGTCCCCATATCTATTTTGATGCAGGACGTTTCAGCCACAGTCATACTTTGTAATGTCGTTTGGACCATGGTCTTTATCGTCATAACGGAAGGAAAATATAATTGCTTCTAGTGCTGTCAAGTCTTAAGCAATGTGTGTGAGACTCACACATTTTGATGCTTATTTAGCTGCATTTTAATACCTTTGGTCTATTTTTTTTCTCTTTGATCTTTACAATTTTGCCAAATCTAATGCATTTGCTTCATGAAAACTTGACAGACCTGTTTCTTCTAGAAACAGATTTTAAGAAACAAATAGAACAATACTTTTTTATCATACATTTATTTTCCTTAAGAAAATTAGTAAAATGGAGATTATTAATAAAAAATGAAGTTTTTAATATACCAAAGAATATATGATAGTTATTAGAAAAGTGAAGAAGATTGTGGTTTTTCAGTATTCGTTAATTTTTTATGGCATTTTTCTCTATTCTTTATATTTTTTGCCCATTATTCTCTATTCTTTATATTTTAGCACCCCATTATTCTCTATTCTTTAATCTTTTGCCCTATTTTTTATATATGTTGGTCTTCATTCTTCATATTGCCCATTATTCTCTTTTCTGTAAATCCCATCCAGACCCTCATATATCAAAATATTTATAATTTCATGTATAGAAAATCATGAATTGTTTTAATGAAATTTTATTTTTATGGTGATAAGATGATTAATTATTAAATGTTAATTATTTATGATTACTGTTAATTGGTATTTTTCTTATGGTTGTGGCCTATTATCTGTTTCTTGCATGGAGAAATATTTCTTGTATTCTTTCACTGCACGGAGTGTGATACGAAAAAGTGATATGAATTTGATTGGCTTATCCAGCATCATGAGACCATATTACGTCATTTCCATTGGCTACTCAATAGGTCATTGATGACTTTCAAAGGTTAAGACAATGCACATTTCGTCCATGGCAACGGACATATGTGATTTCTTTAATCATGTACAAACCAATCACATTTTTCACCTGAAAATCTTCTTTTTGTCAAATTTTATTATATTCTGAAGCGTACACAAAGTTTAAAAATGTCTGATGTTAAAGTTTGACGCTGGAACAGGACACATGAGGTCACACTGGTTTGTGTGAGAGACTAGATAAACAATTCGCAGAATTTTTAATTTAACATAATGACCATAAGAGAAATAGGTTGCATACGGAGTGAGAAATATCAACTCGAGTTATTTAATTTCAATATAATAATAAACGAGACTTTGGCGAGTTTAGGATTACTATTTAAATTAAATAACAAGAGTTGATATCAATGATATCCAATTCTCACAAGTTACTGTTAATTTGTATTTACAAAGCTAATTTGGTATTATTGTTATGTGTCATGATTGTGTTATCTGGCTTTGGTGTACTTACCCTAAATATTTTAGTGATTTTTTTTATTTGGAATAGTGCATGATTTGAATAATTGTGTGAGCTTTAAGTTTATCATTGTTGATGTTTTTGATTGCTTCAAGCTATTTTACACACATGGAAATAAATGCTCTATATGAACTGACACCAAATTACATATATGGTCAGATCATATGTTTTCGTACGTCATATGAATTCGTACTATACATGCTTTTTCAATTGAAATTGTGACATCACAATGCATTCTTAATAGCATAAAAACCCATGAGACGAGGATATATGTTGGTACCTTCAATGTTCTTTACACATGGAAATAAATGCTCTGTAGGAACTTATAACTGAAATGCAACAACATAAACACCTGATAAACATGTGCTTTGTTCCCTGGTTTTTGTCATGGCAATGTCTTTGTGGCGAGTTTGATAGCCACTTGGAATCTTCTTCCCTTCTTTTACAAGTCTCAGATGATTGAACTTGGCCTTTGATCATCATGACAATATTCATTATTCATTTCGTCAAAATAATTCACAAAACACTAGAGGAAACCTGTTTGCATTTTTAGAATATCACTGTATTTTAAAACAATAAAAAAAAACTTGGTTTCATTATTTTATAGCTGTAACCGGAGAGCATGATTCTACTTGCAAAATCGTATGTCTCCACCGGGACTCGAACCCGGGACCTCTGTGTTACAAGGCAGCGCGTTAACCGACTGAGCTAAAGAAGTACTTCCTTAGCTCAACCGCTTACGGCTGATTAAGTATCTACTAAATTTCTAAGGGAAGCAATCCCGTCACACTTCCCCCACCTCAAGAGTCATTATACTCTATAATGATGATATCTTCATCTTTTTTTATATTTATGTTTTAACCTTGCTAGGTATTTCTTCTAACCGTGGGTTTTTATTGTTGGGCGCCAATGTAACCGGAGAGTATGATTCATCTTGCAAATTCGCATGTCTCCACCGTGACTCGAACCCGGGACCTCTGTGTTACAAGGCAGCGCGTTAACCAACTGAGCTAAAGAAGTACTTCCTTAGCTCAACCGCTTACGGCTGACTAAGTATCTACTAAATTTCTAAGGGAAGCAATCCCGTCACATAGTAATACACTAACTTAAACATGATTAAAATATTATTCAACACAAAACCTTTAAGAATTAAGGGTGCGAACGTGAATGGAAGAAAATGTGAAAGGGGGCAAACAGACCCTGATTCAACAGACTGCATAATTATCAAACACAAATCTGTTAAAAGAAAATCAACACAGCAGATGTATAAATATTAGATGCAGTCTTTGGTGTCCATGTTTCTCATACTTATGTTTGTTATGGACAAATTGTTTATTTCTTTTCTCTGTTATAAAAAAAAATTAATGAAGCACCAAAGTCAAATGAACGTACAAATTACGGCAAAATTACTTTTTGTTAAGTAATTAATATTCTTTCTCAAAACAAACTTCTGTCATAACAATGATATATATATATAATGTCTAAAAATAGCAACAATCAACCAATCTATTTAGGCGTGGATCAGTTTGTGAAAATAAACTGATACAGTTACTGAATTAAATTTATATAAATGTTTAAGAATATAACTTAAACACGCTAATTGATACATATTGATAAAAACAAATCAAAACAATAATCTTGAAATCATACAATTTATCGAACATCAATAAATATGTTAAACTTTTACTCCAACTTTATGTAGTTTAAGCTACAAACATATATTTTTTTTTATAGAACATCAATAAATATGTTAAACTTTCACTCCAACTTTATGTAGTTTAAGCTACAAACATATATTTTTTTTATAGAACATCAATAAACATGTTGAACTTTTACTCGAATTTAGTGTAGTTTAAGCTACAAAAATATTTTTTTTGTCATGCATCCGATTTCACCTTGAGAGATGCACACGCCTGATGAAGCTAGTTTGTCTAGCGAAATATTGCGTAATTCTATTTAAAATCTAATAGAACTTTTTAATGTATCAATTAGCGTGTTTAAGTTATATTCTTAGACATTAATATATAAAGTGGGTGGCGCATATTCGCCTTGGACACATTTTCGCTGTTTTGCTATTTCTTCTGTAAAATTTTTGTGCCTTTACCCAATACTTGCCTAAAAAGATGGTAAAGGCTGTTTGTAATGTTCGAACTGTTGATATTCCTCTTTACCCCATTTCCAAGGTTATTCGCACATATAAAGAAATACGCAGGTGTTTTTAAACGATTTTGGCAATTATGTAAGATTTATATGGCAATCATGCACAGTCTTAACGTAAATATTTGTGAGAAAAATCGTATAGGAATGATCTCTCAAGCTAATTCATGTTATTGAAAACATTCGTTTTTTTATATTATACCAGGATAATGAGGATGGTCATGTCATACATTGCGGCGAAAATGTGTTCCCCATGGTACACGAACAATTTGATTACCTCTTGAGTTGCATTTGTTTTTAGAACATTTAACCTATGTTTTGAAGATGATTCCTTTATCAAACATTTTTTTCATATAGTTAAATTTCTGAAACCTACATAAAAAGTTCCAAATATTCAAATGTAGGTCGGATGTAAGTGGGAATGTACGAATTATGCTGCGAATATGGGTCACTCATTCTATATATATATGTTTTAAGAACAATATGAAATAGTCTGGCCAAATGGACTATGGCTGAAACGAATGTGACCGAACTAGTAACCCTGCAGGCGAAATGTCTAGAAAGCGTCTATTTTTGTTTATTCCTTATTTTTTTCTCCCATTTACTGAAGTATTGGCCCATTATAGTCTAGTGTGTATTCTTGTAGTTTTTGTTGGCATCCTTGTCGGAGGCAGATTTAGGAAAGTGGTTGGTTGATGGTTTTAAATGCATAGACTTTTTCCATTTCCCTACAAATATTGCCCTTTTTTCAAAATCCTTGATTCACATCTGCTTGTTGAGTAATTGGTAGTTCTCATGTGACAACAACAAAAAAAAAAACCAATATTTACAATAAAAGACTCAATGTTATAACTTCAAATGAACAGACAGATATACTACAAATTATTACGACTGTCATGATTGCTTTTGTTGATGGTCATGTTGATAGTTCGGGAATAAAACTTGAACTTGTTTATGAAACAATATCAATGATAACATTACTTACGTCCTCTGTGACTTTTGAAGCATCAGCTACAACTCTTCGTTTTATGCTATCAGATACAAAGCGGAATTTGTATAGTCTACACTTTCTTGTCAATACAAACTTTCGGTAAAGGCAGAAATCTATTTTAAGACCGATAAGCCATGTAGAGCCAATGAAAAGCTTTCATAAACGGAAATCCCCTTATAGGGTGAAGGTCGATCGGTTTTCAGAAAATTCAGTTAACCCAGAAAAATACTACAGTATCGTGAAACAGTTTTATATTGTAGCTGGGTTTTTCTAAATTTTAGAAATAGCCTTTCAAGACCCAAAAATAAAATTAAATATATGTAGGTGTAAGATGCCTGGCATTTACCTTTGCTTTAATATTGTGTCATAATGTATAATTATGTCTCTATACTATATAGAGCTGCAGTAGATAGTGTCACATCTTTGTCCCAGCTAGGTCATATACATATTAGTCTAAGCGAAGATGGAATTTTGCATTAATCTTTAGAGAACAGTTATAATTAGATATGTTTACAGAAACTGAACGGAAAAGTATTTAAAAACCTAGGTTTAAGTCACTCTACAACCAATCAATCGTACGTCGAAATTTTTCTATATGTTTCATCAGAGACATATAATAATGTATTATATGTCTCTGGTTTCATTAACTGTATATTCTATCAATCAAGTAATTCTTTACCTCTGTATTGTTCTTTTGTATTTGTTTAATTGTTTGATTATAGTTATAATCTCATGTTGCCCCTTGTGGGGCCATTAATTTGGAATAAAGTATATTCTATTCTCCGTCATTTGGTCTATATAGGGTGTATAGAGAGAATTTATATAGTAAATACACAGTCTTGGGTCAAAAGTGAAAATTCCCTTATTATTTCATATAAAATCAAATGTTTAATAAAAATTCTACTGAAGATATTTCTTGTCCAAATTGATTGATTTTTTTTCTTCATTAAATACAGAAACGTCTGTAGTTTCTTGCAATAATTATGAACTATATTAATGTTTTATAATTTTTGGGAAATTACTGTATATAAAAATATAACGACAAACATGAATTTCTGCATGAAATAATCATATTGCTATATATAGGAAAAAAATGACACTTATAATTTCAATATTTGTATACAAATAAAGATGTCTCAGTAATGACATGTCATAAAGATATGCCAGTCACAATGACAATAAAAAACTATACACATTTGTTTGTTTAAAATTAAAAATTTTGTTAAAATCGGACCTCAAATTAGTTTTTGACAATGTTTTTAAAAAATGGTTTTTAGATGAAATAATAGGGAAATTTGGGATAGGTGAAACACTTTTGATCTAAGACTGTACTATACAAATCCTTGGTCCCACATACATGAAGCATTAATTAATTGATAAAGTAGCTTGAATAACTGCTGTGACTTAATTAAAATACTGACATCAAAGAAGGGGTCTAAAAAAAAGGGGGGGGGGGTGTAATGGGTAAGAAAGTGTTTTGATATTTTTTCAAACATATGTTTTCGATTCCAGACACTTTTAAAGCATTATAACTTGATAAAGCATTAAAAAAAACTATGATTATTTGTAAAGTCTGACTGAAAAGGGGTGGGGGTAATTTTCCGATATGGGAGGGGTGTAAAAATAACATGGATAAGAAAAATAGTTGTAATATATTCAACATGTTTTAAGCTCACCTGCCTCGAAGGGCCTTGTGAGCCCTTTGATATCACTTTCACTCTGTTGTCTGTCCGTCCGTTTTCTGTCGTCCGCAACATTTACTTTTAAAAATTTTTCCTCCTGTGAAACTACTCAACCGATTGAAACAAAAGTTTGTCTTCTTCATCTGTACCACTGGGCGTTTAGCAACCAACAATCAATCAATCTTCATCTGTAGGATGTCAACTATAAAGTTGGTGATTTTCGTCCAGTTTGATCAATGAACATGGTCACTATGTATAGAAATAGAACATGGGGGAATATCTGTCCACCAGTTTTGGAGTTATTGCCCATGAATTGTTGATTTTCACCTTTTGGGCATTTCCTTGGTGTTGTTTCAAAAACTATAGGAGTTCGGATAAATGTGTAATGCAAAAATTATCACCATAACAAGATGTATCCACCCTAAAAATTGGAGAAAACTCTGACTACTTATTTTGGGGTTATTGCCCGTATTATGTATTTTTTAAACAATGTTTAGCAGTTGTTGGCTGTTATCGTGAAAACTATAGGAGCTAGTGTAGATTGCAATAATGATAAGCACCACATGATCTATTAACCCTGAAAATTTCAGAAAAATCAGTCAACCTGTATTTGGAGTTATTGACCCTGAAATGTCCATATTTTGCAGTTTTTCGTTGTTATCGTGAAAAAATAGCAGCCCGGCACTCAAAGCTAGGGTTAAACTCGGACTATTATACTATATATTATGTCCCAGGTTTAAAGTGTATAATACAAAAATTATCAGCACGGCAAGATCTATAACCCTGAAAATGTAAAAAAAAAATCTGTCAACCTGTGTTTAAGTTATTGCCCTTGAACTAAATATAGCGATTTATATAGAGTTTTGCTATTTTGTTTGGTCGTATTTCTTATTTTGTTTCAGACTAAATAAAGTAAAATTTATTGAAATCATTGACATTCGAAAATTGAAGCCTGACTACTCTTCGTTGTCAAAACAAACTTGAAATAAACGCTATGTTCGACTAATATGTAGAGCTAAAGCAGGTTTTTGGTGCACTTTGAAAAGGACAACTATGTGCAACTGTAGACACGTGACTCAAGGACTATACAATTTATGAAACTGACTAGAGCACCAAACCTAAATAACGATCTAGTCCATGGCGCAATAAAGTACTGCTGCGTTCATGGGGCAAAGACCACAAACCTGGTCATCGACTGGTTAGGGAGCTACCATTTGATTTTTGTGGGGCGGGGGCTAGGATGAAATTTTGAAAAAAAAAGGCAGGACAGGAGTTTTGAGTAAAAAAAAAGGCAGGATGAGCAACTTGGCAAAAAAAAAAAGGCAGGATGACAATTTATGTAAAAAAAGTCAGGATAAACTAATAAAAAAAAAGGCAGGACCGAATAGAGTGAAAAATAAAAAGGCAGGACAGAGATTACAACTAAAAAAAATCCAGGACAAAATTTTTCATCCTAGCCCCGCCCCCATAAAAATCAAATGGTAGCTCCTTTAGTCAAGTTGTTTCATTAATACATGTACATGTATCTTGATCTATCTTCGTTTTTATCTTCACGGTAACTAGCTATATCGTCAGATCATATGTTTTCGTACATCATATGAATTCGTACTATGGGAAATTGTGACGTCACAATGCATTCTAAATAGCACAAAAACCCATATGAGATGACAAGCAGTACAGAAAATAACATTGTCAAAACTTGCGAAATTGTCCGTCATTCAACATCTTTCAATCGATTTAAACCAGTGCGTTCTTATGTAGTGCATAATATTATAAACCAAAAATAACCAATAAAGCATAATTGTGTTATTCTCCGGCGCTAAACAACATATTAACCAACTATTCGAAAAACCCTATCCAACAAGTGCCATGTCTGCAGCATAATATTGCATGTGCAAGACGTCTGCAGCATAATATTGCATGTGCAAGACTAAAAAATGCAACAAAAGTAAAGCACTGGTTTTGTAACACTTGTAAAGCATTTTGAAGTTGTTCAGTTTTACTTTTAATTTCAAAACCTATAGTATGTTTTTATTACGATTTTTAATTAGAATATCAATTTTAATATGCATGCTTTGCTTATGTAATTATATTTTTTAAAAAGATATTTTTTTGTTGTATGTAATTAAAGTAACTTTTAATTTCAAAACTTACGGGATATTTTTATACCCCCGCTTTAAAAAAGTGGTGGTATACTATTTTACCTCTATCCGTCCGTCCGTCCATCCGTCAGTCAGTCTGTCCGTCCGTCCGTCCCATAAATATTTTTCATCGCATCTTTCTCAGGAACTACATTACAAGGATTTCTGAAATTTGGTTTCAGGGTTTATATGAGTCAGCTATACCGTGTGATGCGTTTTCAGATTCATCACTCAACAACTTCCTGTTTACCTTATACTTTTAGCGGGTGGGGGTATCATTAGTGAGCAGTAGCTCACAGATTCACTTGTTTATTAGAATATCAATTTTGATATGCATGCATGCATGCTTTGCTTATGTATACATTTTTAAAGAAGACGGAGATTTTTTATTAATATGTTAAAGTGTTTCTACATTTCTTTCTATTCTTAATTAATATACTAAAAAATCTTCATTAAGAATGGCAAAATAGCAAAACTCGTTATAAATCGCTATTCTGTCGGCTCCGGCAAAGTAACGCTAAGGAATCTATTTTGCCAGAGCCGGTAAAATAGCCACTGCCTTAATTTTTTTCGAAGTTGATGATTTCAACTTCACCATTTGGAGCTCTTGGTTTAATAGCTTCATTGTGAGCAGCAACCCTCTATCAAGGAAATTGTGATAGGAAATGCAAGCTGTAAAAGTAAGAAAACGTCTTAAAAATTATTTTCGTATAGTTCCAAATACTTATTTGATCAGATGGACAGGCAGGGGTAAAACTGCTAACCCCCTCCTTTCAGAGCAGTGGTACAATAACTTGACCAAGAAGTTTGAATTACTATGACGATCTGAAATTATGACATCTATAAAAGGGAGGAATTGGGCGATTTTTCATGGTAGGGGATTCCAAATAACAAGGTTAAGGGAAAGTGTTGTGATATCTTATCAAACATTTGTTTTTTTCCCTTCCAGTTACTTTTCAGAGCCTAATTACTATGATGATTTGAAATTTTGGCATCTAAAAAGGAGGGATGGGGTTATTTTCTATGTAAGGAGGTCAAAATATCATGGCTAAGAATAATGTATCTCTTAAAGCATGTTTTTGATGACAGGTAAGTTTTATAGCATTATTAGTAGATAAGTTAAATAAAATGCTTTCATTATTTGGAATTCAAACATCTTAAAGGGGGATGGTTATTTCCTGTTGCAGAAAGGTCAAAATACCATGGATTAGAAAAAAGTAGTGTGATATTTTTTTCAAACAAATGTTTCTCATTCCACATACCTTATTTAGCATTATAGTAGGAAA